GTCACCATCCCTGGAAGTCTTCAAAAGATGTTTAGATGTAGAGCTTAGGGATATGGTTTAGTGGGGACTGTTAGTGTTAGGTTAGATTTTGGACTCGATGATCTTGAGGTCTCTTCCAACCTAGAAATTCTGTGATTCTGCAATTCTGTGATTCTGTGAAATCCATGCTAAATATTTCACGCTTTCATGCACAAAGCCAAATTCATAAATAGAGTTGGAAATGGAAAACTGGAGCCCACAAATGGGGTTCACAAACATGAAGCAAACAGGTGCCTGAAGTCTGACTGCCGCACGTCAGCTGCTTCAGGTCTCAGCATGCAGGGAGGAACCTGGGGCAGCCCCTGGCCCCAGTGGCCCTCATTTCTGCACTGCTCCTGCAGGATCAAGGAGAGGTTATCCAGGACTGACTGGAAATGGGCAGGAGCCCCCCAGGGCTGGGGACAGGGTCTAGACAATGTTGTCCATGAGAAACAGCTGGGCGTTCATCCCCAGCCAGAACCAGGGGCGGATGCTCTCGCCATTGAAGGAGGCTGCTGTGAAAGTGAAGATCTCGACGCCATTGTTAGCATTGATAAAAGACACCTGCTGCTGGGTGCAGTCCAGACAGACCCAGACCTTCGTGGGGACAGGGGACAGGCGCAAGCGGGTGCGAGGCAATGTGAGAGACATGAGGTGCCCCTCACAGTATTGCACAGCCCAGATCCCTTCTTCAGGGCTCATTGTGATCTCCCCTTTCCTCTTCAGAGATGCTCTGGCCACCCCCACAGCCCACGAACAATACCTTCCCCTCTTCTCCCCCCTCACCACCCTCCAGCAGTGCCTCCCCTCTCTGAACTCCTCACGGCCCAGCACGCAGCACCAAATGTCAAATCTCTCCTCAGTGGAGGGAAACCTCTGCCATCTGGCTGCACGTACAGACTGGGCGATGAGACGCTGGAGAGCAGCCTAGAAGAGAGGGATCTGGGGGTCATGGTAGACAGCAAGTTCAATATGAGCCAGCAGTGTGCCCTGGCAGCCAGGAGGGCCAACCGTATCCTGGAGTGCATCAAGCACGGCATCGCTAGTAGGTCGAGGGAGGTGATTGTCCCGCTCTACTCTGCACTGGTGCAGCCTCACCTTGAGTACTGTGTGCAGTTCTGGACACTGGGAAGTTTAGGCTTGACATCAGGAGGAAGCTCTTCACAGTGAGAGTGGTTGCACACTGGAACAGGCTCCCCAGGGAAGTGGTCACTGCACCGAGCCTGACTGAATTTAAGAAGAGATTGGACTGTGCGCTTAGTCACATGGTCTGAACTTTTGGGTAGACCTGTGCGGTGTCAAGAGTTGGACTTGATGATCCTTAAGGGTCCCTTCCAACTCAGGATATTCTATGATTCTATGATTCTATGATTTACTTTCCCAACTCACATTCCTCTGGTCCTCTGCCAGGAAAAGCAGGGGATGAGCCATGTGTGGATCCAGGGTCACTTTCACTGCAGGGACAGAAGGAGCCAGGCCATCAGGGGCAGAGCTCAGCCCTGGGCAGGCTTTCCCCAGCTCGGGGCCAGGAGCTGCCCCACGGGGCAGGAGATGGGGCACCTCTTGGCTCCTGAACATGCCCCACAAAGGGCAGGAGAACAGCGCAGGGGGCAACTTATAAGATACACCTACCTCTATTATGAGACATCAGAAAACTTCTCCATGCTGGAAGGAGAGGGGAGAGTTGGTCACAGCCCATGGGTGTTGCGCAGTGGGTGTGGGCAGGGTGAGGGGCCAGCCCTGGGCTGCTCTGTCCCAGCTGCCCACCCTCCCCTGCACATCACCTTGGCGTTGTCATGTGGCCCAATCTCAGGGACACTCACCCAGCACTGCAGCTTGCTCAGCTGCAAAAAAGACATAAATTAATACAAATAAAAAAGCAAGACTTGTTGAGGGGAGAGAGCTTCTCAGACCATGGGCAGACCCCAAAATGCTTTGCTGTGCTGCAAGATACTCACCAGGCTTTGCATCTTTTGTCACTGCAAAACAAGAGCAAAAACAATGCATGATGGGAAGGGACAACTTCCCATCTCACAGATCCCATGGGTATATCCCCAAATTCCTTCATTTTGGGAAGGGTGGCTCACCCTGCTTTGGAGCTGGTTCCTCTGAAAATAAAAAGCAAAAGCACTTGTTGAGAGAGTACGGATTCTCATTACATGACAAGAACCCATTTTCTTTGGGTTTGGGGTAGAGACTCACCTTGTCTTCCAGATTGCTTCCCTGGAAATGAGAGGGAAAAAAAAGGCATGATGAGAGGGAACAGCTTCTCATCCCATTGCGATACCCCATATCCCATCTCATGCAGATTGACGCTCATGGTTATTTTCATCTACTGTAACCTGGAAAAGAAAGGGAAAAGTCCTGATGTGCATTTTGTACACTGCCCACCCTCCCCTACACATCGCCTTAGCACTGCCCTGGGTTTCATTCTAAGGGACACTCACCCAGCTCTTTAGCCAATTCCACTGTAAAAGGAAAGCAAAAGCGATGCATGGTGAGAAGGGAAAACTTCTCATCCCATTACTGCTCCCATGGGAAGACCCCAGATATTTTGGTTTAGGAACGGAGACTTACCAGGGCTTCCATAATTTTTCACTGGGAAAAGAAAGTAATACCAATGCATGATCAGATGGCAGTGCTTCACATTCCATGGCTACTCCTATAGCTAGACCCTTAATTATTTTTCTCTGGGGAGCAGGCACAGATCATCTTGCTCCCAGATTCAGAGGGACCAGAGTAAGCAAGAGGGAGCAAGACACAGCTTTGAAAGCTGGAGCAGAAGAAGCTGGAGCAGAAGCTGGAGCAGAAGAGGGAGGCTGGAGCAGAAGAGAGAGGCGAAAAAGGGGCTGCAGGCACTGCAGGCAGATGAGGAAGGAGTCCCCTTGGGCCTGGGCACAAGGAGCCACAGCCAGCAGCACCTTGGGCAGGGCACAGAGCCTGTGCTTATCGTGGGCTGGGGGACACAGCAGGCAGCCCCCAGGGGTTCTTCTCCAAGGGAGCCTCACCAAGAGAGAGGTCCTTCACTGCATCCAGCAGATCTGCAGGAATCACAAGACTGTGCCCAAGTTTCCCAACTTTTGCTCAGTTCCTGCCTGCAATAACCCTCTGGAAGAAACTTTACCCCTTGGGGGATAGAACTAAATAGCTCCAGAGCTGAGCAAGATCAGATGTTGCAGGGAGTGTTGCGCACCTGGGTGCTGAGCCTGGTGCTGCCACCCTTTGCCCAGGGTGGTGCGGGCAAAGAATAAGCTGCACTCCTGACTGTAGTCAAGTAGCTATTTCAAAAGATTAGCTCAGATTGGCAGAGATCTTCTTCCAGTGGTAAGGTAGATAAGGAAAGTTTATGTGTGCTGGAAGCGAGGCCAGGCAGTATGGGAAGATTATAGAGATACTGTTTTCAGAAAATTCTTATGGATTCATGTTGGATCTGTGAGGGACAGTAAACATGATTTTTATTAAAATGTCTTAAGAGCAAAAGTAGGACCAGAGAAAATATTGGTCTGTTATTTGATGGGGATGGTCTCCTCACAAACAGGGAAATGTTTAATATTGTCTTTGCCTTTGTCTTCAACACTGACAATGGGCTCTAGGACCCCAGGTACCCTGTCTTGGAGAGTCGTGACTGCAGGAACGTTAAGCTCCCAGCCAACTCTGAATTTTGTTGTGATTTGCTCCTAGACGTGGATGCATACAAGACTGTAGGACCTGATGGGATTCAGAGTACTCAGAGAACTGCCTGATGTCATCAGGAAATCTCTATAAATTATTTTTGAAATATCCTTGGGAATCTGGAGAGGTCCCAGTGACGGGAAGCTGCCAAACGTCGCCCCAGTTTCCAAGAAGAGCAGCAAAGAAGGCCCTGGGAATTACAGGCCTGTCAGTCTCATGGCAGTGCCTGGTAAAGTTAGGGAGATTGCTCTGGGAGTGTGTGAAAAACACCTGAGGGACAAACTTAATTTCCTTTTTATGCCAAGGTCAGCCTTCTGGTTGACCAAGGGGTTCCTGTCAATGTGATCTTTTCAGAATTCCGTAGAGATTCAGGCATGGTTTCTGAACATATACATCCAGCAGCGGGCCTTGGTAGCTCAAAGGGCCAAGAGTATGTAGTGGGTTTATGTGGCTTAGGGGTGGCTTCCGTGAAAAGAATCCAGAAGTTGCCCCATGTTAGATAAGGAGTTCACCTCTGACCAGAAACAAGCCTCTACGATTGTGCCTCTGTGAGAGCATAGTTAAGAACAAGGGAAAAAAAAGACTGCTGCTGAACAGCAGCTGGGAGGGAAAGGAGTGAGAAACAGCTCTGCAAGGTCAGTGCAGAAGGAAGGGTAGGAGGTGACCATCCTAATCAAGACCAATACTTTCTCTGATCCTCCTTTTGCTCTTAACATATTTTAATAGACCATTTTAATGCCCCTCACAGTACTGTCCTGGTTCAACGCAAATTGAGCTTTGAATTTTCTGCCTCCAAAGGCAAACAGCATCTCTGTAGCCCTCTCATGTTGCTCAACCTCCAGTGCACATAAACGTCCCTTAGTCACCTAAGCTTTAGAAGAAGATCCTGCCCCTCTGGAGCAACTCTTTGCTGTGCCTGCTTGGCTTGAGCAGGGAGCGGGGCTGGCTCTTTGCCTTCAGCACCCTGGGCGAAGGGTGGCAGATCCGGGCTTGGCACCCAACTCCACCCCATTACTTCAGCCTCCAATCCCACTCAGCTCTGCTCTGCCATCTCTCCACATTGTTCCATTGCTCACAGTTTCATTCCTCTCTAGACAGGTGAAGATGAACGAGCTCAGACACTGGCTTTCCCTGGAGGTCTGGAGAGGTTCCTGCTGGGGACAAGCCCCTCATCCTGCCTGAAGGTGGTGGACTGGGCACCCAGCTACGATGGGATGGTGGTGCCAGCCCTGCAGAGCTCCTCAGACACTTGTCCCCATTGCCCCAGGGGCAGAGCTGCTCCCTGAGGGTTATTGCAGTCAGGAACTGGGCAAAGGTTGGGAGTGTTGGGTGCTTCCTTCAGTGTTCCAGAGTGTTGGGTGCTGTGAGGGACGTCTATCTTGGTGGGGTTCTCTTGCAAAAGAACCCCTGGGGGGCCGCCTGCCCCCTGGGGGACCTCTCTCTCAGATGGGGCTCCCCTGGGGCTGTGGCTGTCCCAGCCTCACCGGCCATGCCAGGGGCCTCCTGACTTCCCTCGTCACTCTGCTCCTCCTCCGCCTGGGCTCAGGTAGGATCCTGCAGGGATGCTGGGGGCTCTCCCCCCTGGGCCTGGCAGACGTGCTGCTGTGGGGCAAGGGTGTGGCCGTGGGGCAGTGGGGACCCGAGCCCACAGCTCGGCCCCTGCTGGGTTTCACTTTCCCTTTGGTTCTTTCACACAATATGGGCGCTGCCTTGACTGCCCTTTCTGGCTCTTCTTCACATGCCCAAATGCTGCAGAGAGGGCTCCCACTCCCAGCACACCTCCTTCTCCTGCACGCCCTCCCTCTCCCTCTCCTGTTTCCCAGGTGGTTTCCCATGGCACACGGGGGACGCAGCATGCACCAACTCACACACAGCTTGCCCTTTGTCACTCACTGCCCTGATAGCAAAATCTCACTGCCTCTCTGTTCCCTTCTCCATTGCCCAGCCCAGCTCAGATTGGAGGGACCAGACCACCCTGTCACTGGCACCGTGGGGCAGGATGCCGTGCTGCCCTGCCACTTGTCCCCTCAACGCGATGCTCGCAGCTTGGAGGTCAGGTGGATCCGGGACCATATCTCTGAGACAGTGCACCACTACCGCAATGGACAGGACCTGTACAGGGAGCAAATGGAGGCATATGCCGGGAGGACAGAGTTGTCCAGAGATGGTCTCTCTGCTGGAAGCCTGGACTTACGTATCACAGGACTGAGACCCTCTGATGATGGCCGGTACGTCTGCACTGTGGAAGATGCTGATGCTTATAACGAAGCAGTTGTGGAGCTGGAGGTGTCAGGTTAGTGGCTGGGGTGATGCTGCCAGGGGGTGGTAGAGTTGTCCTTGGGTTAGTGTGTCCCACCCAGGCTCCTTTCCCATCCTCATGGCCATCTACAAAGCCTTTCAAACTGTTGAGTCTGTTGGGGCTTCTTCTCCTCACTCTGTGAGTAATTGTCCAGCAACGAGCACACCTGTGCCCCTGCAGGCTTTTTATTGAGAGGGAACTACACAGATGAGATGGTTTTATTCAGTTTCAATGGCCTCTGTGAACTCCATCCCAATGATGTTCTGAGGGTACTGGGCAGAGGCTTCTGAGCAGAACATTCAGCTCTGTCAACAAGGGGACCAAACACAGAGCCTAGAGCAGAGAAGAGACCTCTAAGCATCTGGACCTCTGCTTGCTTTTGATTTTTCTGCTGTGGGAGACCTGAGACGTTTTCTGAAAGTCTGGGTGCTTCTTGAAACAGCAAGGCTTGTTGCAGAGACACTGCCTGGAGGTGATGAATCTTGATCTTGATCAACTTGATCTTGATCATCTTGATCTTGATCTTGATCACCTGGGTTTTATGGGTGATTTGGGGCCACTGGCATTGTGCAGCCCTTCTCTCTGCTTCAACCACTACCTGCGGTATTTTGTTGCTGAGGGCTGCTTTGTGAAGCGCCTGGTCCCTGAGCCCCTGTGGCAGTGGTTGTGGAGGGCTGTGTCTAGCATGGGAGCAGATGGGGTCTTTGCCTTGGAACACAATCCCTCCCCAAGTCAAGTCCCAGCCACGCGCTCTTCCCCCAGCCACAGGTGCTGACCCTCACCTCTCCCTGGGGGGCTACGAGGCTGGAGGCGTCCGGGTGCTGTGTCGATCGGCCGGCTGGTACCCGCTGCCGCAGCTGCTGTGGAGGGATGCTCGCGGGCAGCACCTGCCCTCGGTCTCCCAGACACATTCCCAGGACCAGGAGGGGCTCTTTGAAATCGAAGGCGCCGTCACCGTGACCGGGAGCGTGGAGGGGTCCTTGTCCTGCGTGGTCAGGAGCAGCCGCCTGCAGCAGGAACGGGAATCATCCCTGCACATCGCAGGTACAAATGGCACAGCCAGGGTGAGGTGTTCCTGGCCCCTGCACTTGTCCTGAGCTGCGAGAAGTCTGGGTCTTGCTTTTCCACCTGCGGGCATGAAAATACAGCCCTTTTCCTGGTGCCTTTTCTCAGCTCCCTTCTTCCACAACGCCCAGCCCTGGATGGTGGCTCTGGCTCTGGTCCTCGTGCTTTTGGCTGTGTCCATTGGCCTGGGTGTTTATCTCTTTCGAAAGCAAGGTAAGCTGGCAGCACAGGGATGGAGCGGAGGGAGGTGTTCTGCAGGGACCCCCCTGGGTGTGGAGCGGGGCTGAGCCCTGGCCCAGGGATGTGCGTAGGAGGAGGAAGGGAATGTTCTCCTGGGGATGCCAAAGGCCTTAGGATCATCTTGGGCCTCTGCCTGGGGCAACGAAGGCAGGGGAGAAGGCAAGGGTGGGAGGCCAGGGAGCATGGCTGCAGCCCCTCTTCAGATGTCTTGTCCCTCCCAATCTGGGAATGAGGTGGTCCGTGCCCACTCATGAGAGGAAAGAAATTTGGGGTCTAGTTGTGGAAGCAGCAATGGGATAAGAAGCTCCTCACTTTGACCATGCATTGCTTTTTCTTTCCTTTTCCAGTAAAAAAAGATACAAAGCTGGGTAAGTCTAGTTCCCCAAAAAGAAGGCATTTTGTGTCTTCCCGTGGGCATACTGCACTCTGACCATACATTGCTTTTCTCTCTTTTTTTTTTTTCTTCCAGTGGAACAAGCTGCAGAGATAGGTGAGTGTCCATTCCTGAACTGAAAGAATTTGCTGTATAGACATGGGATGAGAGGCTTTCCCCTCTTACCATGCATTCCTCATGATTTTCTTTTCCAGAGGAAAAAGCTGCAAGACTGGGTGAGTCCATCTTCTCCTCACCCCAGACGGAAGGAATATGAGGTCTTTGCCCTGTCGGAGTCACTTGCTGAGAAGCTGACTCCTCTCATCAATGCATTGCTTTTCTGTTTCATTTGTAGAGGAACAAGCTACAGAGCTGGGTGAGTGTGCCTGAGCTTGGGCCCCAGGACAACATCAAGGTGATGTGCAGGGGAGGGTGGGCAGCTGGGACAGAGCAGCACACGGCTGGCCGCTCACCCTGCCCACACCCACTGGGTACCAGCCATGGGCTGTGACCAGCTCTCCCCTCTACTTCCAGCATGGAGAAGATTTCTGATGTCTCATAATACAGGTAGGTGTGCATTGGGTTGCCCTCTGAGGTGCTTCTCCTGCCCCTGCTGGGGCATGTTCAGGAGCCAAGAGGTGCCCCATCTCCTGCCCCGTGGGGCAGCTCCTGGCCCCGAGCTGGGGAAAGCCTGCCCAGGGCTGAGCTCTGCCCCTGATGGCCTGGCTCCTTCTGTCCCTGCAGTGAAGCTGATCCTGGATCCAGATACGGCTCATCCCATGCTTGTCCTTTCGGAGGATCACAGGAGAGTGAGAAGGGAAACCGAACAGCAGCAGGTCCCTGACAGACCAGAGAGATTTGACGTTCGGTTGTGTGTGCTGGGCTGCGAGGAGTTCACAGAGGGGAGGCACTGCTGGTTGGTGGAGGTGGAGGGAGAGAGGCTGAAGTTTTCACGGTGGGCTGTGGGGGTAGCCAGGGCTTCTGTGGAGAGGAAGGGGTGGATTAACAGAAGCCCAAAAAAAGGCATATGGGCTGTTCAGTACTATGAGGGGCAGCTCATGTCTCTCACATCTCCTCGCACGCCCTTGTCCCTGTTCTCCATCCCCACGAGGATTTGGGTCTGTCTGGACTGTACCCAGGGGCAGGTGTCTTTTATCAACGCTGACAATGGGGTCGAGATCTTCACTTTCACAGCAGCCTCCTTCAGCGGGGAGAGAATCCGCCCCTGGTTCTGGGTGGAGACAGTGGGAATTCAGCTGTGCCTGAAGGACAGCGCCCCCCAGACCCTCTCCCCAGCCCTGGGGGGCTCCAGCACTTCTTCAGCCACTCCTGCATCACCTCTCCTTGATCCTGCAGGACCAGCACAAGAATGAGGGGCAGTGGGGCCAGGGGCTGCCCCGTGTTCCTCCCTGCTGCTGGAGCAGGGCTGTGGTACTGCAAGCAGGGGCCATGCCCCTTGCAGTCCCTGGACTCTGCCCTGCCCAGGGCTCCTGTGCTGGGGCACAAGCCCTGCTGGCACCCACGGCTCTCACCCTGCCTCTGAGCCCCAGCGGGCAGCACAGGGGCTGCAGCAGCTCTCCACGCTCCTCTCCCCTCTGCTTGTACTGCTTGCAGACCCCAGGGCAAGGGATGTGGTCACTGTGTGCTGCTGGCCAGTGCAGGCCACATTTGCCTCCTAGTTTGGGGTTGATCTTTGCTCTGTGCCTGGTGCTGAGCATGAGCAGCCTGTGGGGGCTCTTTGTTCCCTCCTCTGGAGCACATCTATGCAAGATGCAGCAGCAGCAGGACTGTGTCAAATAAATTTTTGCAGAGGAAGATGGAGTCTGGCAGTTGCATTTCCTGGGTGCTTTCTGTCCTGAGGCTTTGCTGCCTGGGAAGGCATCTTGAATCATAGAATCATAGAATCATAAAATATCCCAAGTTGGAAGGGATCCATTAGGATCATTGAGTCAGGCTCCTGGTACCACACAGGTCTACCCAAAAATTCATACCATGTGCCTAAGTGCACAGTACAAATGCCTCTTAAACTCTGACAAGCTTGGTGCAGAGACTGCTTCCCTGGGGAGCCTGTTCCAGTGTGCGACAACCGTCTCAGTTAAGAACCTCTTATGATGTCTAGCATAAACCTCCCCTGCCTCAGCTTGACACCATTCCCATGGGTCTTATCACTGGTGACTAAAGAGAAGAGATCGACGCCTGCCCCTTCAGTACCCCTCTTGAGGAAGCTGTAGACCGTGATGAGGTGTCCCCTTAGCCTCCTCTTCTCCACGCTGAACAGGCAAAATGACCTAGGCCGCTCCTCATATGTCTTCCCCTCTAGGCCCTTCACCATCTTTGTAGCCCTCCTCTGGACATTCTCCAACAGTTTGAAGTCCTTTTTGTACCGTGGTGCCCATAACTGCACATAGTACTCAAGGTGAGGCTGCACCAGAGCAGAGCAGAGCAGGACAATCACTACCCTTGACTGACTAGTGATGCTGTGCTTAATACACTCCAGGGTATGGTTGGCCCTCCTGGCTATCAGGGCACACTGCTGGCTCATGTTCAGCTTGCTGTCAGCCACAACCCCCAGATCCCTCTCTGTGGGGCTGCTCTCCAGCGTCTCATCGCCCAGTCTGTACGTATAGCCAGGGTTGCCCCGTCCCAGGTGCAGGACCTGGCACTTGTCTTTGTTAAACTTCATGCAGTTGGTGATAGCCCAGCTCTCCAATCTCTCCAGGTCTCTCTGCAAGGCCTTCCCACCCTCAACAGTGTCTACAACTCCTCCAAGTTTAGTATCATCAGCAAATTTGCTCAAAACACCTTCTAGTCCTACATCCAAATCATTTATAAGAATATTGAAGAGGACTGGCCCTCAGCCACAACCCCCAGCTCCCGTTCTGGGGGCTGCTCTCCAGCCTCTGGCCCCCCACACTGTCCATACAGCTGGGGCTGCCCCTGCCCAGGGACAGGGCCGGCACTTGCTCTTGTTAAACTTCCCACAGGAGGTGGCTGCCCAGCTCTTCCCTTTGGCCACATCCCTCTGCAAGGCCTCTCCACCTTCAACAGATCCAGCAGCTCCTCCCAGTTCAGTGTCAGCCACAAACTCACTCAGGCTTTCTTGCAGTCCCGCATCCAGGTCATTTATGGGACCACTGAAGAGACCTGGCCCCAAAATGGAGCCCTGCAGAGCCCCACTCATGACTGGCCTCCTGCCTGATGATGCCCCTTTTACCAGAACCCTCAGAGCCTGACCCCTCAGCCAGTTTTTCACCCAGTGTATCATGCACTTCTCTGTCTCTATGCTGGATATTAGGTCCAGATGAATAGGGTCAGAAACCATGTAGAAATCTTTACTGGAATCCAAAAAGATCACCTATGCTGTCTCCCCTGGTTGAACTAAGAGGATGACCTTGTCCTAAAATGAAATGAATTTACCTGAACAGGACTTGCCTCTCACGAACCCATGTATGCTGTGACCAGTTTAGTGCATTGTCTCTCAGGTGTTCTTCACATGTTCTCAGAGCCCAGCATAGGTGTTTGTGACAGAGGTGAAGAAGACATTAAAAGTCTGACCTTTGTCTGCGTCCCTATTTGTGAGGTGACCATCCTAATTAAGACCAACACTTTCTCTGATACTCATTTTGCTCTTAACATATTTTTAAAAGTCTGTTTTAATGCCCCTTACTGTACTTTCCTGGTTTAATGCAAATTGAGCTTTGAATTTTCTGCCTCCAAAGGCAAACAGCATCTCTGTAGTCCTCCCATATTGCCCAACCTTGCTTCCAGTGCACATAAACTTCCCTTAGCCACCTAAGCTTGAGAAGAAGATCCTGCCCCTCTGGAGCAACCCTTTGCTGCACCTGCTTGGCTTCAGCAGGGAGTGGAGCTGGCTCTTTGCCTTCAGCACCCTGGGCAAAGGGTGGCAGCTCCGGGATCAGCACCCAGCTGCACCCCATTACTTCAGCCTCCAATCCCACTCAGCTCTGCTCTGCCATCTCTCCATATTGTTCCATTGCTCACAGTTTCATTCCTCTCTAGACAGGTGGAGATGAACGAGCTCAGACACTGGCTTTCCCTGGAGGTCTGGAGAGGTTCCTGCTGGGCACAAGCCCCTCATCCTGGCTGAAGGCGGTGCCAGCCCTGCAGAGCTCCTCAGACACTTGTCCCCATTGCCCCAAGGGCAGAGCTGCTCCCTGAGGGTTATTGCAGCCAGGAACTGGGCAAAGGTTGGGAGTGTTGGGTGCTTCCTTCAGTGTTCCAGAGTGTTGGGTGCTGTGAGGGACGTCTATCTTGGTGGGTCTCTCTTGCAAAAGAACCCCTGGAGGGCCGCCTGCCCCCTGGGGGACCTCTCTCTCAGATGGGGCTCCCCTGGGGCTGTGGCTGTCCCAGCCTCACCGGCCATGCCAGGGGCCTCCTGACTTCCCTCGTCACTCTGCTCCTCCTCCAGCTGGGCTCAGGTAGGATCCTGCAGGGCTGCTGGGGGCTCTCCCCCCTGGGCCTGGCAGACGTGTTGCTATGGGGCAAGGGTGTGGCGGTGGGGCAGTGGGGACCCGAGCCCACAGCTCGGCCCCTGCTGGGTTTCATTTTCTCTTTGGTTCTTTCACACAATATGGGTGCTGCCTTGCCTGCTCTTTCTCTGTCTCCTTCACTCGCCTGAATGCTGCAGAGAGGGCTCCCACTCCCAGCACACCTCCTTCTCCTGCACGTCCTCCCTCTCCCTCTCCTGTTTCCCGGGTGGTTTCCCATGGCACACGGGGGACGCAGCACGCACCAACTCACGCATAGCTCGCCCTTTGTCACTCACTGACCCTAAATTTAAGATGGCAACATCTCACCGCCTTTCTGTGCCCTTCTCCATTGCTCAGCCCAGCTCAGAGTGGAGGGACCAGGCCAGCCTGTCACTGCCACCGTGGGGCAGGATGTCGTGCTGCCCTGCCACTTGTCCCCTCAACATGATGCTCACAGCTTGGAGGTCAGGTGGATTCGACGCACGATATCTGAGACAGTGCACCACTACCGCAATGGAGAGGACCTGTATGGGGAGCAGATGTGGGCATATTCTGGGAGGACAGAGCTGGCCAGAGATGGTCTCTCTGATGGAAGGTTGGACTTGCGTATCTTTGGGTTGAGACCCTCTGATGATGGCCAGTATGTCTGCACTGTGAAAGATGCTGATGATTATGGAGAAACTATTGTGGATCTGGATGTGACAGGTTAGTGGCTGAGTTGATGCATACACTTGTCCCTGGGATTGTGTGCCCTACCTAGGCCTCTGTTCCATCCTCATAGTAATCAATGAAACCTGTCAGAGAGTTTAGCAAGATGGTGCTTCACCTCCTCAGTATGTGAGCACTTGACCAGCAAGGTATACACCCATTCTGTGGCAGGTTGGTTTTGGGACAGATTTGCAAGGCTGAGTTGTTTTTGATCATTTTCTGTGCTCCAATGAACTGTGTCCAATAATGTTCTGAGGGCACTTGGCATGGGCTGCTGAGCACCTCCTTAGGCTGTGCCAGTATTGGGACCACAGACAACATCTGAAGCCAGGAAAAGACCTCTTAGCAGCTGGACCTCTCTTTGCTTTTGCTTTTTCTCCTGGCGGAGAACTGAGACATTGTCTGGAAGTCTCGGGGCCTCTTTGAAAAGCACAGCTTGATGCAGAGATGCTGCCTGGAGGTGCTGAAGCCATGCACCTGAGTTTTCTGGGTGATTTGGGTGCAATGGCATTGCGCAGCCCTGCTCGCTGGTTCTAGCACCAGCCACGGTGCTTTGCAGGTGAAGGTTGGTTTGTGAAGCGCCTGGTCCCAGAGCCCCTGTGACAATGGCTGGGTAGGGCTGTCTGGCATGGGAGCAGATGGGGTCATTGCGTTCAAATGAATCTCTCCCCAAGTCAAGCCCCAGTCACGCGCTCTTCCCCCAGCCACAGGCGCTGACCCCCACCTCTCCCTGGGGGGCTATGAGGCCGGAGGTGTCCGGGTGCTGTGTCGATCGGCCGGCTGGTACCCGCTGCCACAGCTGCTGTGGAGGGATGCTCGCGGGCAGCACCTGCCCTTGGTCTCCCAGACACATTCCCAGGACCAGGAGGGGCTCTTTGAAATCGAAGGCACCGTCATCGTGACCGGGAACGCGGAGGGGCCCTTGTCCTGCGTGGTCAGGAACAGCCGCATCCAGCAGGAGTGGAAATTTTCCCTGCACATTGCAGGTACAAATGGCACAGCCAGGAGGAGGTGTTCCTGGCCCCAGCACTTGTCCTGAGCTGCGAGAAGTCTGGGTGTTGTGTTTCTAATCCCAGGCATGTAAATACAGCCCCTTTCCTGGTGCCTTTTCTCAGCTCCCTTCTTCCACAACGCCCAGCCCTGGAAGGTGGCTCTGGTCCTCGTCCTCGTGCTTTTGGCTGTGTCCATTGGCCTGGGTGTTTATCTCTATCGAAAGCAAGGTAAGCTGGCAGCGCAGGGATGGAGCACAGGGAGGTGTTCTGCAGGGACCCGCATGGGTGTGGAGCGGGGCTGAGCCCTGGCCCAGGGAGGTGCGTAGGAGGAGGAAGGGAATGTTCTCCTGGGGATGCCAAAGGCCTTAGCATCGTCTTGGGCCTCTGCCTTGGGCAACGAAGGCAGGGGAGAAGGCAAGGGGCCTTGGGTGGGAGGCCAGGGAGCATGGCTGCAGCGTGGGGCTGGTGGCAAGGCGCAGCCCCCCTGCACATGTTCCCACCCAGCAACCAAGCTGCTCTGCTCACCACCTCTTCCTCCGCCTTTGCTTTTCAGCGGCACAGAGCCGAGAGCTGGGTGAGTCCTTGCAGTCCCTGCCCCCAGCCCCTGGGGAAGTGGTGTCCCTGCGGGAGGGCCTGGTCTGGGTGGGCTCTGGGGGCTTGTGTGCTGGTGGCTCGGGGGTGCTGGAGGAGCAGCTGGAGCCTGGGGTGGGAGTGGGGAGTGCTGGGGCTGGGGCTGCCCTGGGCACGGGACACGGCCGGGATGGCTGAAAGGAATGGGGAACAAGGTGGGAAAGGGGAGCGAGCTGTGGGGCTGCCCCACTCTGCACTGATGCTTCTTGGACAGGGACGTCCTCCACCCATCCCCATTCACTTCCCCTTGTGTTTTGGTGGCACCGTGCAGAGAGCTGCACAAGTGTCTGTCCTTACTGCTCCACATGCATGAGCCTTGCTCAAAGCTCGGTCTTGCCGACTGTTAGGCAGCACCACCCTTCCTCCCCCACCCTCCCCACAGTTTGGGAACAAAGAGGTCTGTGTCCACTCAACAAAACAAAGAAATCTGGTGTCTTCTCATGGAATAACCTATAGGATGAGAAGGTGTCCTCTCTGATCATGCATTATTTTGTTTTCCATTTCCAGTGAAAAAAGATGCAAAACTGGGTGAGTGTCTCTTTCTTAAGCCCAATGATCTTGTGTCTTCCCATGGGTGTAGCAAAGGCATAAGACGTTCTCCTATCTAATATTGCTTTACTCTTCTCTTCCTTTTCCAGCGGAACAGGCTAGGCAGCTTGGTGAGTCTCCATCTCTTATCCAAATCTATTCAGGTGCTAAACATGAAATGAGCTTGACCCTCTGATCATGCTTTTCTTTTTTTGCTTTTCCAGAGGAAAAATGTGAAAGGCTGGGTAAGTCTCCCTCCACAACCTGGAGAAAATTGGTTTTGCACTTCTTAGCAACCCTGGAATGAGAAACTGTCCCCTCTCATAATGCGTTGCTTTTCTCTTTCTCTTCCAGATCAACAAGCTACAGAGCTGGGTGAGTGTCCCTGTACTTGGGCCCTAAGGCCACAAAAGGGCAACATGTACTGAAGGGTGGGCAGCTGGGAAAGAGCAGACCGGGTCTGGCCCCTCACCCTACCCACACCCACTGGACACTGGCCATGGGCAGTGACCAGCTCTTCCCTCTCCTTCCAGCATGGAGAAGGTTTCTGCTGCCAGAAAATAGAGGTAGGTGTGCACTGAGTTGTCCGCTGAGGTGCTTCTCCTGCCCTTGCTGGGGCATGTTCAGGAGCCAAGAGGTGCCCCATCTCCTGCCCCGTGGGGCAGCTCCTGGCCCTGAGCTGGGGAAAGCCTGCCCAGGGCTGAGCTCTGCCCCTGATGGCCTGGCTCCTTCTGTCCCTGCAGTGAAGGTGACCCTGAATCCACACACAGCTCATCCTGAGCTCATCCTGTCAGAGGACCACAGGAGTGTGAGATGGCAAATGATACGGCAGAAGGTGCCTGACACACCGGAGAGATTTGACTTTTGGTGCTGCGTGCTGGGCCATGAGGAGTTCAGAGAGGGGAGGCACTGGTGGGAAGTGAAGGTGGAGGGGGAGCTGGAAATGTATTCTTGCTGGGCTGTTGGGGTGGCCAAGGAATCTGTGGAGAGGAAGGGGAAGATTAACATGGACCCAGAAGAAGGGATCTGGGCATTGCTTTACCAGCAAGGTCATCTCACGCCTCTCAGATCTACTCGCACCCCCTTACCCCTATCCCCTGTCCCCACGAGGATCTGGGTCTGTCTGGACTGTACCCAGCAGCAGGTGTCTTTTATCAATGCTGACAATGGGTTCGAGATCTTCACTTTCACAGCAGCCTCCTTCAATGGGGAGAGCATCCGCCCCTGGTTCTGGCTAGAGACACTGGGAATTCAGCTGTGTCTGAGGGACAGCACCCACGAGAACCCGTCCCCAGCCCTGGGGGGCTCCTGCCCTTCTCCAGCCACTCCTGCATCACCTCTCCTTGATCCTGCAGGAACAACACAGGAATGAGGGTTACTGGGACTACAGACATTCCTGTGCTCCTTCCTCTGGCTGGAGGAGGGCTGTGGTACTGCAAGCAGGGGCCATGCCCCTTGCAAACCCTGGGCTCTGCCCTGCACATGGCTCCTATGCTGGGGCACAAGCCCTGCTGGCACCCACAGGTCTTACCCTGCCTCTGAGCCCCAGTGGGCAGTACAGGGGCTGCAGCAGCTCTCCACGCTCCTCTCCCCTCTGCTTGCACTGCTTGCAGACCCCAGGGCAAGGGATGTGGTCACCGTGTGCTGCCGGCCATTGCAGGCCACCTTTTCCTCCTAGGTTGGGGTTGATCCTTGCTCTGTGCCTGGTGCTGAGCATGAGCAGCCTGAGGGGGCTCTTTATTCCCTCCTGTGGGGCACATCAAGGCGCAGCAGCAGCAGGACTGTGTAAAATAAAGTTTTGTACAGGAAGATGGAGTCTGGCAGTGGTATTTGCTGGGTGCTTTCTTTCATGAGGCTTTGCCTGGGAAGGTGTCTTGCAGCAGACCGTCTCCTTGGTGTTGGTCCTGGGAGTCAGAGCCAGGAGGAACTGAAGCTCTAGCTAGCCCTAGTTCCCCAGCAGGAACCTGGGTGCACTTGTGCAACCTGGGTCATTGCCCTGCCCTGGGGGCACCCAAAGAGCTTCCATCCTCCCATCATACAGGCTCTGCAGAAGCTGTGGCCACAGGGGGCATCACCGGCTCTTCAAGTCCTCCAAGCAGAGGCAGCAGGTGGCCTCAGCCTTCAGCCAAAATCACAGAATCACTTATGAGCCCCAGTTTGAAAGGACCCTTCAGGACCATCATGTTCCACACAGAACCACCCAAAAACTAGACCCTGCATCTAAGAGCCTTCTCCAAAAGTTCCTTGAGCTGCATCAGGCTCAGGGCTGTGCCCATATCCCTCCAGAGCCTGTTCCCATGCCCCACTAGCCTCTTGGGGAAGAATCTTTTCCAAACAGACAGACAGCCTTCTCTGTGGCAGCTCCATGGCTACAGCCTCCTTTAAGGTACCTGTAGAGAGTGATAAGGTTGCCCCTGAGCCTCCTCTTCTCCAGGCTGAACAAACCCAGCTCCCTCAGCCGCTCTTCATAGGACTTGTTCTCCAGACTCCTCTCCAGCTTGGTCGCCCTTCTCTGGACTCGCTCGAGCACCTCCATGTCTTTCTTGTAGTGAGGGGCACAAAACTGAACACAGTACTCGAGGTGCGGCCTCACCAGAGCCGAGTACAGGGGGACAATCACTTCCCTAGCCCTGCTGCTCACACTGCTTCTTATGCAAGCCAGGATGCTGTTGGCCTTCTTGGCCACCTGAGCACACTGCTGGCTCATATTCAGCCGACTGTCCACCATCACTCCCAGGTCCTTCTCTGCCTGGCAGCTCTCCAACCACTCATCTCCCAGCCTGTAGCTCTGCTTGGGGTTATTGCGCCCCAGGTGCAGGACCCAGCACTTGGCCTTGTTGAACTTCATGCAGTTGACCTCAGCCCATCGGTGCAGCCTATCCAGATCCTCCTGCAGAGCCTTTCTGCCCCCGAGCAGATCAACACACGCACCTAGCTTGGTGTCATCTGCAAACTTACTGAGGGTGCACTCGATCCCCTCATCCAGATCATCAATAAAGATATTAAAGAGGACTCGCCCTAGTACCGAGCCCTGGGGGATGCCACTAGTGACCGCCCTCCAACTGGATTTGACTCCATTCACCACAACTCTTTGGGCCCGACTACTCAGCCAGTTTTTAACCCAATGAAGAGTAGGCCAGTCCAAGCCATGAGCAGCCAGTTTCTTGAGGAGAATGTTGTGGGGAACAGGGTCAAAGGCCTTGCTGAAGTCAAGGTAGACCACATCCACAGCCTTTCCCTCATCCACGCAGTGCATCACTTCGTTATAGAAGGAAATCAGGTTCATCAAGCAGGACCTGCGTTTCATAAACCCATGCTGACTGGGCCTGATCACTTGGTTGCACTGTAAATACTGCATGATGACATGCAAGATAATATGCTCCATGAGCTTCCCTGGCGCTAAGTTCAAACTAACAGGCCTATAGGTCCCCAGGTCTACCCTCCAGCCATTCCTGTAGATGGGCATCATGTTTGCTACCCACCAAATTCAATATGAATCGTCCCCCATAAGGATAAGGGCAGTGTTTCCAGAGGCATCACATAGTTCCTTAAAGAACAGTTCATCCATGTCATAATCCTGGCTGCATGCAGAAACTGTCCATTCTGTCCTTGGAAGCCATTTCCACACCAAAGACTCCACGCTGCTGCAGAAGAGCTTTGCTTGCCAGAGGGCAAATGGTCTGCCCATTTCTGCCTCCACTGGGATGGACAGAGCCGGGAGTGGGGCTGGCTCTTTGTCCCCACCACCCTGGGAAAAGGGTGGCACTGAGATGCTCGGCAGCCAGCTGTGCCTCTTTCCCTGCAGCCTCCGATGTCGCTCTGCCCTGCAGCATCTTGCACCCATCCCCCAAGGGTCAGGGCTCCACCCAGAGGGTTACTGCAGGCAAGAGCTGAGCAGAAGTTGGTGAAGTCACGTGTAGCCTTCTAGTTCCTGCAGCTGTGGTGGGTGCTGTGAGGGACGACTATTCTGGTGAGACTGCCTTGGAGAAGAACACCTGAGGCTGCCTTCTGTGTCCCCCAGCCCATGATAAGTGCAGGCTCTGCACCCTGCCCAAGGCGCTGCTGGCCGTGGCTCCCTGTGCCCAGGCCTGCAGCCCCTCAGTACCTTACTCTTCTACCCCCAGATCCTGCTCCCGCTGCAGCACAGATGGGGCTCCCCTGGGGCTGCGGCCGCCCCAGCCTCACCAGCCATGCCAGCGGCTTCCTGACTACCCTCGTCACTCTGCTCCTCCTCCAGCTGGGCTCAGGTAGGATCCTGCAGGGATGCTGGGGGCTCTCCCCCCTCTGCATACAGATGTGCTGCCATAGGGCAGGGGAGCGGCTTCAGGGTAGGGGGACCAGAGCCCACAGCTCGGTCCCTGCTGGGTTTCACTTTCCCTTTGTTTCTTTCACACAATATGGGCGCTGCCTTGACTGCCATTTTTGGCTCTTCTTCTCCTGCCCAAAAGCTGCAGAGAGGGCTCCCACTCCCAGCACCCCTCCTTCTCCTGCACGTCCTTCCTCTCCCTCTCCTGTTTCCCTGGTGGTTTCCCATGGGACATGGGGGACACAGCACGCACCAACTCACACACCAACTCATGCCCTTTGTCACTCACTGCCCCTAAATTTACGATGGCAAAATCTCACCGCCTCTCTGTGCCCTTCTCCATTTCCCAGCCCAGCTCAGAGTGGAGGGACCAGGACACCCTGTCACTGCCACCGTGGGGCAGGATGTCGTGCTGCCCTGCCACTTGTCCCCTCAACGCGATGCTCACAGCTTGGAGGTCAGGTGGATTCGGCGCACGATATCTGAGACAGTGCACCACTACCGCAATGGAGAGGACCTGTATGGGGAGCAGATGGGGGCATATTCTGGGAGGACAGAGTTGTCCAGAGATGGTCTCTCTGCTGGAAGCCTGGACTTGCGAATCACAGGGCTGAGACCCTCTGATGATGGCCAGTATTTCTGCACTGTGAAAAATACTGATGCTTACGATGAAGCAATTGTGGAGCTAGAGTTGTCAGGTTAGTGTCTGGTGTGAGGCATTCAAGGGATGGTGCAGGTGTCCCTGAGTTTCTGTGTTCCACCCAGGACCCGGTCCCATCCTCATGGCCATCTACGAGGCCTTGCAAACAGTACAGTGTGATGGGGCTTCTCTTCTGCTTGTGAGCACTTTTCCAGCAAGGAGTACAACTGTGCCCTTGCAGGCTTTTTATTGAGAAAGAGCTGCATGAATGCAATGATTTAATTCAGTCTCAGGGGCCTTCTTTGAACTCCATCCCCATGCTGTTGTGTGGGCAGTGGGCACAGGTTGCTGAGCAGGTCCTTCAGCTGTGCCAACAATAGGTGTGGTTTAGGGGTGAGAATGTCTACATGGAGTGCCCGGTCCCTGAGCCCCTGGGGCCGTGGTTGTCCTGGGCTGTGTCTGGCTTGGGAGCAGATGGGGTCATTGCCTTGAAATGAATCCCTCCCCAAGTCAAGCCCCAGACACACGCTCTTCCCTCAGCCACAGGCGCTGACCCCCACCTCTCCCTGGGGGGCTACGAGGCCGGAGGCGTCCGGGTGCTGTGTCGATCGGCCGGCTGGTACCCGCTGCCGCAGCTGCTGTGGAGGGATGCTCGCGGGCAGCACCTGCCCTCGGTCTCCCAGACACATTCCCAGGACCAGGAGGGGCTCTTTGAAATCGAAGGTGCCATCATCGTGGCCGGGAGCGTGGAGGGGCCCTTGTCCTGCGTGGTCAGGAGCAGCCGCCTCCAGCAGGAGCGGGAATCATCCCTGCACATCGCAGGTACAAATGGCACAGCCAGGGTGAGGTGTTCCTGACCCCTGAATTTTCCTGACCCAGAAGTCATCTGGGTCTTGCTTTTCTAATCCCAGGCATGTAAACACAGCCCTTTTCCTGCTGTCTTTTCTCAGCTCCTTTTTTCCTCAACGCTCAGCCCTTTATAGTGGCTCTGGCTCTGGTCCTTGTGCTTTTGGCTGTGTCCATTGGCCTCGGTGTTTATCTCTTTCGAAAGCAAGGTAAGCTGGCAGCGCAGGGATGCAGCGGAGGGAGGTGTTCTGCAGGGACCCCCCTGAGTCTGGAGCGGGGCTGAGCCCTGGCCCAGGGAGGTGTGTAGGAGGAGGGAGGGAATGTTCTCCTGGGGATGCCAAAGGCCTTAGGATCGTCGTGGGCCTCTGCCTTGGGCAACGAAGGCAGGGGAGAAGGCAAGGGGCCTTGGGTGGGAGGCCAGGGAGCATGGCTGCAGCGTGGGGCTGGTGGCAAGGCGCAGCCCCCCTGCACATGTTCCCACCCAGCAACCAAGCTGCTCTGCTGACCCACGTGGTCCTCTGCCTTTGCAAATGCCAGTTATGCTACTTGGCAAGCTTGCTCATTGGTGGCTGTACTAGTAGTGTTCACGCGACTATCATGCTCTTATTCTGCTCGTTGATTCGTTGTCATGCGGACTGCTCATACTGGTTGTTTTCTCAACTCCTCAATTGTTACTTCTTCTTCGACCTTGTCCTACTTGCCTTGTACCTTATCTTGCATTTTTCTACTAGCTACTTTATTTCTGTGTCTAGCAGATTCCACAGGCTTCCAAACTGAGTTCCCATGACTCCAGTCCCTCCCAATCTGGGAGTAAGTTGGCCTGTGCCCATTGCACACTGTATAGATTTTGGTGTCTTCCCACTGGAGCCACCATGAGATGAGAAGCTGTAACCTCTGATCACCATTGCTTTTACTTCCATTTTCCATTGGAAAAACAAACAAACAAAAAAAAAGATGCAGAGCAGAGTAAGTCTCCTTTTATATATCCAAAGATCTGGTGTCTTCCCTTGGGAGCAGCCATTAGCTGTGCAGCTCTCCCTTCTCATCATGCATTGTTCTTGCTTTCCTTTTCCATCGCAACAAGCTGAACAGCTTGGTGAGTCTCCATCTCTTATTCAAATGCATTCAGGTCTAGCCATGAAATGGGCTTTCTCCCCTGATCATGCATTGCTTTTGCTTTTCTTTTAGAGAGGAAAAAGTGGAAATGCTGGGTTAGTGTTCTTCTCCAGCCTTAAGAAATTTGACCTTACCCTTATTAGTAGCCCTGGTATGCGTAGCTGTCCCCTCTCATCATGTGTTGCTTTTCTCTTTCTCTTGCAGCTACACAAGCTACAGAGCTGGGTGAGTGTCCCTCCTGAAACTTAAAATATAAAATAAAATTAAATTAAATTAAAATTAAAAAGTCTGTATTAAGGAAAAAGGTGAAAAGAGAAGTTTTCTCTTTTCATCATGAGTTGCTTTTACTCTTGTTTTGCAGAGAAAAAAGATGCAGAGCTGGGTGAGTCTCTCTACAACAAAAAAAAAAAAGGCAGTTTGGAGTCCAGTTGAGCTGGGGACTCTCATCATGTCTTGCTTTTCTTTTCCTTTTTCTAGAGAAACAAGCTGCAGAGCTGGGTGAGTATCCCTCCCCAAACTGAAAAAAAAAATGGAGGTCCAGCCATGGGATCAGAGGCTGTCCCCTCTCATCATGCCCTTTTTTTTCACTTTTCTAGTGGAACAAGCTGCAGATCTGGGTGAGTGTCACTGCACTTGGACCCCAGGGAACACCAAGGCAATGCGCAGGGGAGGGTGGGCAGCTGGGACAGAGCAGCCCAGGGCTGGCCCCTCACCCTACCCATACTCACTGGGTACCAGCCATGGGCTGTGACCAGCTCTCCCCTCTCCTTCCAGCAAGGAGAAAGTTTCTGCTGTCTCATAATAGAGGTAGGTGTGCACTGGGTTGCCCTCTGTAGTGCTCCTCTTGCCCTTGCTGGGGCATGTTCAGGAGCCAAGAGGTGCCCCATCTCCTGCCCCGTGGGGCAGGTCCTGGCCCCGAGCTGGGGAAAGCCTGCCCAGGGCTGAGCTCTGCCCCTGATGGCCTGGCTCCTTCTGTCCCTGCAGTGAAGGTGACCCTGGATCCACTCACGGCTCATCCCCGGCTTGTCGTGTCTCTGGACAACAGCAGTGTGAGATGGGAAACTGAACGGCAGCAGGTGCCTGACACACCGCAGAGATTTGAGTCTTGGTGCTGCGTGCTGGGCCGTGAGGAGTTCAGAGAGGGGAGGCACTGCTGGTTGGTGGAGGTGGAGGGAGAGCAGCAAAAATATGCTTGGTGGGCTGTGGGGGTGGCCAGAGCATCTGTGGAGAAGAAGAAAGGGATCAAAATTTGCCCCCAAGAGGGAATTTGGGCTGTTCAGTATGATGAAGGAGATTTCACGTCTCTTACATCTCCTCGCACCCCCTTGTCTGTGTACCACAACACCACGAGGATCTGGGTCTTTCTGGATTTTACCCAGAGGCAGGTGTCTTTTATCAACGCTGACAATGGGTTCGAGATCTTCACTTTCACAGCAGCCTCCTTCAATGGGGACAGCATCCGCCCCTGGTTTTTGCTGGAGACAGAGGGAACTCAGCTGTGCCTGAAGGACAGCACCCCCAGACCCTGTCCCCAGCCCTGAGGGGCTCCTGTGATTCTCCAGCCACTCCTGCATCACCTCTCCTTGGTCCTGCAGGAGCAGCACAGGAATGAGGGGCAGTGGGGCCAGGGGCTGCTCCGTGTGTTCCTCCCTGCTGCTGGAGGAGAGCTGGGATGCTGCCAGCAAGGACAAGGCCCCTTGCAGCCCCTGGGCTCTGCCCTACCCAGGACTCCTGGACTGGGGCACAAGCCCTGCTGGCACCCATGGGTCTCACCCTGCCTCTGAGCCCAGCAAGCAGCACAGGGGCTGCAGCAGCTCTCCACACTTTTCTCTCCTCTTCTTGTACTGCTTGTAGACCCCAGGGCAAGGGATGTGGTCACTGTGTGCTGCTGGCCATTGCAGGCCACCTTTGCCTCCTAGGTTGGGGTTGATCCTTGCTCTGTGCCTGGTGCTGAGCATGAGCAGCCTGTGGGGGCTCTTTGTTCCGTCCTCTGGAGCACATCTATGCAAGATGCAGCAACTTGGGCCCCTCGCTACAAGAAGGACATCGAGGTGCTTGAGTGGGTCCAGAGAAGGGCGACGAAGCTGGTGAGGGGCCTGGAGAACAAGTCCTACGAGGAGCGGCTGAAGGAGCTGGGCTTGTTCAGCCTGGAGAAGAGGAGGCTCAGGGGCGACCTCATCGCTCTGTATAAGTACATTAAAGGAGGCTGTAGTGAGGCGGGGGTTGGCCTGTTCTCCCACGTGCCTGGTGACAGGACGAGGGGGAATGGGCTAAAGTTGCACCAGGGGAGTTTTAGGTTAGATGTTAGGAAGAATTTCTTTACCGAAAGGGTTGTTAGGCACTGGAACGGGCTGCCCAGGGAGGTGGTGGAGTCACCATCCCTGGAAGTCTTTAAAAGACGTTTAGATGTAGAGCTTAGGGATATGGTTTAGTGGGGACTGTTAGTGTTAGGTTAGAGGTTGGACTCGATGATCTTGAGGTCTCTTCCAACCTAGAGTTTCTGTGATTCTGTGAACAGGACTGTGTCAAATAAAGTTTTGTACAGGAAGATGGAGTCTGGCAGTGGCATTTGCTGGGTGCTTTCCGTCCTGAGGCTTTGCTGCCTGGGATGGTGTCTTGCAGCAGACCGTCTCCTTGGTGTTGGTCCTGAGAGTCAGAGCCAGGGAAAGGTGGAGAAAACACAGTGCCAAGGGCTCAACAGTTGAGATAAGGATGGGGAGCTCAGTCAAAAATTATCGTGACAGGCAAAACAGACTCAGAGTAGAGAGATAATAAAATTTATGGCGTATTACCAACAGCCTAGAGAAGTGAGAAAAAAAAGGAAAGGCACCCAAAACACCTTCCCCATATCTACCTTCTTTCACCTTCTCCCCCCTGAGGGGCACAGGGGAATGAGGGCTGCATTCAGTCCCTGATGGTTTTTCTCCAGCGCTCCTTCTTGGTCACTCTCTGCCCCTGCTCCATGTGGGGTCACTCCCACAGGATGCCATCCTTCCCAAACTGATCCTGCAATGGGCTGCCCACAGGGAGCATCTCTTCAAGAACTGCTGTGGTAAGGACCCTGTCCGTACCACAGGGTCCATCCATCAGGAGCAAGCTGCTCCAGCACGGGTCCCCCACAGGCAGCAGCTCCCCCCAGACCCTCTGCCCCTACCTGGGCTCCTCTCCATACACTGCAGCTTCAGCCTGGAATCTGCTCCAGCAGGGGTTCTCCACAGGCTGCAGCCTCCTTCAGGGCAGATCCACCTGCTCCACCGTGGTCTCCTCCATGGGCTGCAGCATGGAACCCTGCTCCACCATGGGCCTCATGACAGGCTGCAGGGGACTTCTGCTCCGGTGCCTGGAGCACCTCCTGCCCACCTTCTTCACTGATCTTGGTGTCTGCAGGGCTCTTTCTCATTCCTTTCTCAATCTGCTGTTGAGCAGAAGTGTTTTGTGTTTTTTTTTCCTTTTTCTTTTTTTTTATTTTTATTTTTTTCCCTTTTTAAAATATGCTTTCACAGGAGCACAAACAACATTGTTTATTGACTTGGCTCTGGCCTGTGGTGGGGCCCTTATCTAACATGGGGCAGCTTCAAGACTCTTCTCGCAGAAGCCACCCCTATGGACCCCAATACCAAAACCATGCCACATAAACACAGTACACCTAGACATTGCCCTGCTCTGGGGGCACCTGAAGAGCTTCCAACTTCGCATCACACAGGATCTGCAGAGCCTGTGCCCACAGGGGGTATCACCAGCTCCTGGATTTCCTCCAGGAAGAAGGTCTGACCCTCCCCGGTGGCAGCTCCATGCCGTTCCCTCGAGCCCTGTCGCTGTCCCCAGAGAGCAGAGCCCCTCCGCTCCCCTCATCAGGAAGCTGTGGACAGCCACGAGGCCTCCCCTGCGTCTCCTCTGCTCTGGGCTCAACAAGACAAGCACCTTCAGCTGCTCCTCACACGCCTTGCCCTGCAGAGCCTTCGCCGTCCTCGTAGCCCTCCCTTGGAGGCTCTCGCACAGTTTCACGCCCTTCGTCTGCTGCGGTGCCCACAGCTGCACGCAGTGCTCGAGGCGAGGCTGCAGCAGGCTGAGCAGAGCGGGACGATCCCTTACCTCGGCTGGCCAGCAGTGCCGTGCCTGAAGCACTCCAGGGCACGCTTGGCCCTTTGGGCTGCCAGGGCCCGCAGCTGGCTCACATCCAACTATCCATCAGCCACAACCCCCAGCTCCCGTTCTGGGGGCTGCTCTCCAGCCTCTCGCCCCCCACGCTGTCCGTACAGCCGGGGCTGCCCCTGCCCAGGTTCAGGGCCCGGCACTTGCTCTTGTTAAACTTCCCACAGCTGGTGGATGCCCAGCTCTCCCCTTTGGCCAGATCCCTCTGCAAGGCCTCTCCACCTTCGACAGAGCCAGCATCTCCTCCCAATTCAGTGTCAGTGTTTGTGAGTTAACAATACTGTTAAGCTTCAACTCTAATTGAGCTTTGGCCATTTGAATCTTTCCCCCTAATTACAAGGGCAGCAGATCCAGAGCCATGCCTTAGTTCCTTCAAGAACAGGTCATCCATGTCATCATCCTGGCTGCATGCAGAAGCTGCCCCTCTGGTCCTCGGAAGCCACTTCCATGCCCAAGCCCCAACCCTGCTGCAACAGGGCTTCTCTTGCCAGAGGACAAATGGTCTGCCCATTTCTTCCTCCTCTGCGATGGGCAGAGACAGGAGTGGGGCTGGTTCTTTGCCTGCACCACTCTGGGCAAAGGGTGGCAGCACGGCGCTCAACACTCAGGCATGGAAATCAAACTTCACAACTCCTAAAGAGTTATAAAGCAGGTACGTTTATTACAGTACTGGGTGCAAGGGGGATCGCTCCTCCTAGCATGCACACCAATGGTTACTGCCAGGGTGTTTATATTGATGGGATATATGCATATTCATTTCATTTCCTGCAAGTCTCTTACATATTCATCAGGTCTCCGTAAATCATTAACATAGGTTTCCACCCCTATCTGCATGCACACTAGAGTCCTCAGGCAGTTGTCCAGTGTACTCTGCTGGTCTTTTGATGTAGGACAGAAGCCTTCCTCACTGCTAAACTTCTGATCTTTCCTTTCTTTTACAGACTTCAGCAGTCAAGCCAGTTCTTGCTGGCTTCATTATCTATGCATGCAGTCTTTGACTCCCTTATCGTTCGGGTTGCCCTCTCCTTGTGGTTTACATACAATTGTGTTAGCTGAGAACTACAGAATCAACATCCTTTATCATGTTCCCCATCTCAATCTTTTAGGGTCATCCTGTCCTCGTACTCCCTAGCTCAGTCCTGTCCTTGAGGTTTATATACAACATAATCCCTGGCTTAGCTGAAACCTGCAATATAGGCATGCTTTCCCTTGTTCCCTGTCACAGCACACAGCTGTGCCAATTTCCCTGCAGCCTCTGATTCCGCTACGCTCTGGAGCCTCTTGCTCCCAGCCCCCAAATGTCCAAGCTCCTCCCAGAGTTTTACTGCTGTCCGGAACTGCGTAGGAGATCTGGAATTTTGGCATACCCCTGTGTTTCCTGCAGCTCGGCTGGGTGTGGTGAGAAACCTCTCCGTGGGGATTCCCTAGAGAAGAACCCCTGGGGACTGCCTGCTGTGTCCCCCTGCCCGTGATAAGCATAGGCTCTGCGCCTTGCCCAAGGTGCTGCTGGCTGTGGCTATTTGTGTCCGGGCCCAAGGTGACTCCTTCCCCATCTGCCTGTGGTACCTGAAGCCCCTCAGTCCCCTCTTTCTTCTGCCCCTACTTCTGCCCTCAGCTCCTGCTCCTGCTACAGCACAGATGGGGCTCCCCTGGGGCTGCAGCCACCCCAGCCTCACCGGCCATGTCAGGGGCCTCCTGACTTCCCTCGTCACTCTGCTCCTCCTCCGGCTGGGCTCAGGTAGGATACTGCGGGACTGCTGGGGGCTCTCCCCCCTGGGCCTAGCAGATCTGCTGCCATAGGGTAGAGGAGAGGCTGTGGAGCAAAGGGAGCCCTAGCCCACAGATCAGCCCTGGCAGCTGGGTTTCACTTTCCCTTTGGTTCTTTCACACAATACGGGCGCTGCCTTGACTCCCCTTTCCGTGTATCCTTCACCTGCCTGAATGCTGCAGAGAGGGCTCCCACTCCCAGCACACCTCCTTCTCCTGCACGTCCTCCCTCTCCCTCTCCTGTTTCCCGGGTGGTTTCCCATGGGATACAGGGGACGCAGCACGCACCAACTCACACACCAACTCATGCCCTTTGTCACTCACTGCCCCTAAATTTACGATGGCAACGTCTCACCGCCTTTCTGTGCCCTTCTCCATTGCCCAGCCCAGCTCAGAGTGGAGGGACCAGGCCACCCTGTCACTGGCACCGTGGGGCAGGATGTCGTGCTGCCCTGCCACTTGTCCCCTCAACGCGATGCTCGCAGCTTGGAGGTCAGGTGGATCCGGGACCATATCTCTGAGACAGTGCACCACTACCGCAATGGAGAGGACCTGTATGGGGAGCAGATGGGGGCATATGCCGGGAGGACAGAGTTGTCCAGAGATGGTCTCTCTGCTGGAAGCCTGGACTTGCGAATCACAGGGCTGAGACCCTCTGATGATGGCCTGTACATCTGCACTGTGAAAAATACTGATGCTTACGACGAAGCAATTGTGGAGCTAGAGTTGTCAGGTTAGTGTCTGGTGTGAGGCATTCAAGGGATGGTGCAGGTGTCCCTGAGTTTCTGTGTTCCACCCAGGACCCAGTCCCATCCTCATGGCCATCCACGAGGCCTTGCAAACAGTACAGTGTGATGGGGCTTCTCCTCTGCTTGTGAGCACTTTTCCAGCAAGGAGTACAACTGTGTCCTTGCAGGCTTTTTGTTGAGAAAGAGCTGCATGAATGCAATGATTTAATTCAGTCTCAGGGGCCTTCTTTCAACTCCATCCCCATGCTGTTGTGTGGGCAGTGGGCACAGGTTGCTGAGCAGGTCCTTCAGCTGTGCCAACAATAGGTGCTGTTTAGGGGTGAGAGTGGCTCCATGGAGTGCCCGGTCCCTGAGCCCCTGTGACCATGACTGGTCTGTGCTGTGTCTGGCATGGGAGCAGATGGGGTCTTTGCCTTGGAACTGAATCCATCCCCAAGTCAAGCCCCAGCCACGCGTTCTTCCCTCAGCCACAGGCGCTGACCCCCACCTCTCCCTGGGGGGCTACGAGGCCGGAGGCGTCCGGGTGCTGTGTCAATCGGCCGGCTGGTACCCGCTGCCGCAGCTGCTGTGGAGGGATGCTCGCGGGCAGCACCTGCCCTCGGTCTCCCAGACACATTCCCAGGACCAGGAGGGGCTCTTTGAAATCGAAGGCGCCGTCATCATGACCGGGAGCGTGGAGGGGCCCTTGTCCTGCATGATCAGGAGCAGCCGCCTGCAGCAGGAACGGGAATCATCCCTGCACATCGCAGGTACAAATGGCACAGCCAGGGTGAGGTGTTCCTGGCCCCTGCACTTGTCCCGACCCAGGAGAAGTCTGGGTCATGCTCTTACACCTGCGGGCATAGAAACGCAGCCCTTTTCCTGCTGTCTTTTCTCAGCTCCCTTCTTCCACAACGCACAGCCCTGGAAAGTGGCTCTGGCTCTGGTCCTCGTGCTTTTTGTGGTGTCCATTGGCCTCGGTGTTTATCTCTTTCGAAAGCAAGGTAAGCTGGCAGCGCAGGGATGGAGCGGAAGGAGGTGTTCTGCAGGGACCTGCATGGGTCTGGAGCGGGGCCTTGGGTGGGAGGCCAGGGAGCATGGCTGCAGTGTGGGGCTGGTGGCAAGGCGCAGCCCCCCTGCACATGTTCCCACCCAGCAACCAAGCTGCTCTGCTCACCACCTGTTCCTCCGCCTTTGCTTTTCAGTGGCACAGAGCCGAGAGCTGGGTGAGTCCTTGCAGTCCCTGCCCCCAGTCCCTGGGGAAGTGGTGTCCCTTTGGGAAGGCCTGGTCTGGGTGGGCTCTGGGGGCTTGTGTGTTTGTGGCTCGGGGGTGCTGTTGGAGCATCTGGAGCCTGGGGTGGGAGTGGGGAGTGCCAAGTGAAAGTCTCTCCACTCTGGCCATTCATTCCTTTTGCTTTTCTATAGCAGCGAAAAAGGATGCAGAGCTGGGTAAGTCTCCTTCCACTAAGAGAAGGCATTTGGTGTCTTCCCATGGGCATACTCCCTTCTGACCGTACGTTCTTTTCTCTTTCTTTTCCAGGGGAACAAGCTGCAGAGATAGGTGAGTGTCCATCCATGAACTGAAAGAATTTGCGGTGTAGACATGGGATGAGAAGTATTTCTCTCTGATCATGTATTCCTTATGCTTTTCCAGAAGAAAAAGCTGAAAGACTGAGTGAGTCTCTTTTTCCCTGTCCCCTCACCCCAGTACTGAAGAAACTGGGGTTCATTCCTTTGTAGCAGCCACTTGATAAAAACCTGACTCCTCTCATCAATGCATTGCTCTTATATTCCTTTTCAGAGGAACAAGCTGCAGAGCTGGGTGAGTGTCCCTGCATTTAAGCCCCAGGGCATCATCAAGGCGATGTGCAGGGGAGGGTGGGCAGCTGGGAAAGAGCAGCACACAGCTGGCCCCTCACCCTGCCCACACCCACTGGACACTGGCCATGGGCTGTGACCAGCTCTCCCCTCTCCTTCCAGCATGGAGAAGGTGTCTGCTGCCTCAAAATAGAGGTAGGTGTGCACTGAGTTGCCCACTGAGGTGCTTCCCCTGCCCTTGCTAGGAGATGTTCAGGAGCCAAGAGGTGCCCCCTGTCCTGCCCCATGGAGCAGCTCCTGGCCCCGAGCTGGGGAAAGCCTGCCCAGGGCTGAGCTCTGCCCCTGATGGCCTGGCTCCTTCTGTCCCTGCAGTGAAGGTGACCCTGGATGCAGACACGGCTCATCGTGAGCTCGTCCTGTCGGAGGACCAAAGGAGTGTGAGATGGGAAAGTGAATTGAAGGACATTCCTGACACAGATGAGAGATTTGAGAGTCGGCGCTGCGTGTTGGGCTATGAGGAGTTCAGAGATGGGAGGCACTGGTGGGAGGTGGAGGTGGAGGGGCAGGGGAAGAGAGAAAGGAATTCTTGCTGGGCTGTGGGAGTGGCCAGGGTATCTGTGAAGAGGAAGGGGGTGTTGAACATGAACCCTGAAGAAGGGATCTGGGCTGTGCAGTACGATGAAGGACAGCTCATGTCTCTCACATCTCCTCGCACTCCCTTGTCCCTGTCCCCTGTCCCCACAAGGATCTGGGTCTGTCTCGACTGTACCCAGCAGCACGTGTCTTTTATCAATGCTGACAACGAAGTTGAGATCTTCACTTTCACAGCAGCCAGCTTCGATAAAAAGCCCATCCGTCCCTGGTTTCTATTGTGGACACAGGGAATTCAGCTGTGCCTGAGGGACAGCACCCCCCAGACCCTGTCCCCAGCCCTGGGGGGCTCCTGCCCTTCTCCAGACACTCCTGTATCACCTCTCCTTGGTTCTGCAGGAGCAGCACAGGAATGAGGGGCAGTGGGGCCAGGGGCTGCCCTGTGTTCCTCCCTGCTGCTGGAGGAGGGCTGGGATGCTGCAAGCAGGGACCAGGCCCCTTGCAGCCCCTGAGTTCTGCCCTGCCCATGACTCCTGTGCTGGGGCACAAGCCCTGCTGGCACCCACGGGTCTCACCCTGCCTCTGAGCCCCAGCAGGCAGCACAGGGGCTGCAGCAGCTCTCCACACTCCTCTCCCTTCTGCTTGCACTGCTTGCAGACCCCAGGGCAAGGGATGTGGTCACCGTGTGCTGCCGGCCATTGCAGGCCACCTTTGCCTCCTAGTTCAGGGTTGATCCTTGCTCTGTGCCTGGTGCTGAGCATGAGCAGCCTGTGGGGGCTCTGTGTTACCTCCTCTGGAGCAGGGCTGTGTCAAATAAAGTTTTGCACAGGAAGATGGAGTCTGGCAGTGGCATTTCCTGGATGCTGTCTTTTCTGAGGCTTTTCTGCCTGGGAAGACGTCTTGCAGCAGACTGTCTCCTTGGTGTTGGTCCTGGGAGTCAGAGCCAGGAGGAACTGAAGCTCCAGCTCCCCAATGACTCCTCAGCTGAAACCTGGGTGCACTTGTCCCAGCTGGGTCATTGCCCTACCCTGGGGGAACCCAAAGAGCTTCTAGCCTCCCATCACACAGGCTCTGCAGAGGCTGTACCCACAGGGGGTATCACGAACTCTTGGAAATTCTCCAAGCAGATACAGCAGTTGGCCTCAGCTTTGCAGCTCTCCCTCAAGTCTTTGCAAGCCACCTCCATGCCTCAGCACCCATCCTGCTGCAGTCGTTTCACTTCCCAGCGCCCAAATTCTTCATGAGATGGGCATGCAGGAGCCATGGGGCCACCCCAGCTTCCCCCAACCATCAGGAATCAATAGCAAACCTGTGCTCCCAGAAAACCAGCTCCACATTATTGCACCTCCTCTTAAAGCAAGCATGACAAAGAAGCTGACACTCTCAAACCAAATTCATTGGGAAATTTATTCTAAACATTGCAGCATTAAAATCAAGAGCAGACACAGTGGGGAAACTGGGGGAGGAAATGCATTTGGAAGACACCGCATTCAGTAGCAGTGGTCCGCAAACCCCATCATCCATCTCCATCCATGTGGGGTCTAACTATTCAAAAAACCCTCATCTCTTATCCTACTGAGACCCTACCATCCCCAAACCCATCTTCCTTCCTCCCAGCAAGGTCCCATCTCCCAAAATTCCATTGTCCTCCACTCCAGTGGAGATCCACCACCACAAACCCCGTTCACCTTCATCCCAGTGGGGTCCCACCATCTCCAAAACCCCATCATCCTCCATCCCACTGGGCTCCCAACATCCCCAAAGTCATCCACTGGGACTGGGAACTGACTGACCACCATGTTCCCTAAGCACTACGAGAAGCTGTGCCATGACCAACAGCTGCATGCCCGGTCCTCCTTAATTCACAGATGTAATCTTCAGAGGGTTGTTTGGGAGGAATAGTAAAAGTTGAAGGCACAAGCAGCAGTGAAACTCAAGTTTTTATCCTTGATAAGATGGATGGGATGTGGAGGAGCTGCGATGTTGTGGGGATGGAGACCCGAAGGCCCCCAGGAAAGGGCTGGGCCAAACCAACTCACTCACTGTGCAGCTCCTTCCGGAGGTGTGTCCGCAGGTGCTTCATGAGGGAAGAGCTGGACATGAAGCACTTGGTGCATTTGGTGCATTTGTAGGGTTTCTCCCCAGTGTGGATCCTCTGGTGGATGATGAGGGTGGAGCTGGCCCGAAAGCTTTTCTCACAGTATGAGCATTGGTAGGGCTTTTCACCCGTGTGGATGCGCTGGTGCCTGCGGAGGGACGTGGTCTCCCGAAAGGCTTTCCCGCAGTCGGAGCAGACATGGGGCCTGGGCCCCACATGGCTTTTCTGGTGGAGGAGGAGGGCTGAGGGAAGAGTGAAACCCATCCCGCAGTCAGGGCACTGATAGCGTTTCCCTACCAAGTGCTTTTTCTGGTGTTGGTTGAACGCCGAGCTTTCAAAGAAGGCTTCCCCACAGTCGGAGCAGCGATAAGAGGGCTGACCCTGGTGGGTCCTGAGATGGGCTACGTAGGCTGAGTTCTTTGTAAAGCTTTCCCTGCACTGGGGACATTTATAGGTCCCCTCCTCCAGGTGGCTCTTGCGATGCTTGCTGAGCGACTTGTTGGCCATGAAGCGCTTCCCACACTCGGGGCACTCATAGGGCCTCTCACCCGTGTGTATGCGCCGGTGGATGATGAGAGTTGAATTGGAAGTGAGTTTTTTCCCGCAGTCTGGACAGACAAAGATCCCATCCTCTGTGTGGCTCTTGCGGTGCTTGCTAAGCGACTTGTTGGCCATGAAGCACTTCCCACACTCTGGGCATTTGTAGGGCCTCTCGCCGGTGTGTATCCTGCGGTGGATGAGAAGAGCGGAGTTGGAAGTGAGGTTTTTCCCACACTCAGAGCATTGGTACACGTTGCTCTCGTGGTGGAGCTTGCAATGCTTCTGGAGAGAGCTGCTGGACACAAAGCGCTTCTCGCACTTGGGGCACTTGTAGGGTTTCTCCTGGCAGGGGTTTTTCAGGTGGTCTTTGAGGCTGGAGCTGCACACAAAACTTCTCCCACACCTGCAGCACGCGAAAGGCTTCTCCCCCACATGGACCCTCTGGTGCCGGTTGAGAGATGAGCCACGGCTGAAGCTCTTCCCACACTTCCTGCACGCGTGCTTGTGTTGCCCTAGCTCTATCCTCGATGAGCTCTTGTGTGGATGCTTCCTCCCGTTGTGGCTGGAGGAAGCCAATCTCCGTCCTGAGTGGCTCTTGTGGTGCTCGTAACCCAGGGAGGTACCATCTTTGGGATTCCTCATGGTCTCGCCACGCAGTTCCACCCACTCTCCCTCTTCCTCCTGTGAACTGTCCTCCGTCTCACTTGTCAACCCATCCCCTGCCAGGACAGAGGGAGAGAAACCAGAGAAACCATGGAAAAGTGTCTGGGAGAAGTGGGAACAAAGACAGAAGAATGAAGGACAGGATCCCACACATTTTTTCCCTGGAGGAGAATCATAAAAAGGAAGGAATTCACCACCAGCCTCAACGTTCAGGGTAGGGGGCTTGCAGGAAGGATGGAGAAAAATATCACCAAGAAGTGCTGTCAGGACTCATCCTACCAGGCCAAGCTGATCTAGAAGTAGCAGCCCACCTCTCTAAGGAGAGTTATTAGGTATTTATGGATGACAAAGCTCTGACCAAGCCAAGGGGTATTCCATATCATCTGACGTCATGCTAAACAATATATAGGGGTGGCTAGCCAGGGGAATACCCCTTTGGCTAGTTTGGGTCACCTGTCCCGGGTCTGCCCCCTCCCAGCTCTTACTGCACCCCCAGCCTGCCCGTTGGCAGGACAGAGCAAAAGGCTGAGATGTCCTTGGCTTAGTATAAGCACTGCTCTGCAACAATTAAAGCATCGGGGTGTTATCAGCACTCTTCTCATCCTAAGCCAAAACACAGCATTCCACCAGCTACTAGGAAGAAAAATAATTCTAACTGAAACCAGGACAAGCTCAAAGGCCTTGCATGCCCGCACCCCCTTCTACCAACTCCCCCCATTTCCAGTATGGGACTACAGTCCTGCTTGTGGGTGGCCTGGAGTGATGCCCAGTGTGTGGACATGTCCCAGTGGGTTTCCCCAGCTCAGGGGAGAAAACAAGCCCCTTACCTGAGTAGGATGAATTGGAGCCGGAGGAACTTGCTGCATCTCGGCAGCTTTTCCACCGCTTCCTCTTCCTCGCCCACAGCCTCAGGAGGGGTCTCACCGGTTCTTCATCCTCAGAGGTCTCGATGTCGGGGATCCAAGCCTCTTCCCCTTGCTCCAGATGAATGAGCAGCCCAGGGCTGTACGCTGGGAAGACTGCTCAGTTAGACAGCAGTGGACTACTGGGTAGAGCACAGCCACGCACGAAGCCTCATCACACAGAACATGGCTGTGATCTTATACCTGAGCCTTCTGCAAAGTGAAAAGAAAATCCACATGCCCAGGGCTCTCTGAGGAGGGAAGAGCTGGGTCTTTCCAGAGCAGTATCTACACCCAGACTCATCACTCAAGAGATGTCCAGGTGATTCAGAAGGCAGATGTACATCCCAGGGCATAGTAAGATTGAAGAGAGGAATCAGCCTCCAAGACTACTTCTCAAGAAGACAGAAAAGCCCAGCAGCAGGGAGAGTGGATGAGAAATGCAGAAACTGCCCATCTGAACAGATTCAGGGAGTATGGAGCAGGAGGAAAAGGAAGGCTGGAGAAACAGAGAAAGGAGAACAGGTTGTGACCCAGGCCTGGCAGATGGCCTGGGTGCATCTCACCCAAGTGAGTTTTATTTACTTGGAGAAAAATCTGCCACACTCACAAGGTAATGGGCTGCCTCTTGTTAACGCAGAGACTTCAACTAGTTGAACATCTCCTCCAAGAGCAAAACGTTGTAGAAGGGCTAGGGGCACACAAAGCAAGAAAGGATGCTCAAGGACAGAGCTGGAGTGGGCAGCACTACACAAAGGCCAGCGGGCTGCACGTCTGAACGGGTGACTTTTGTCCTCTTGTCTGCTAATGGGCACCAGTGTACTTCAAGCCTGAATCATTGCCTTTCATTATTTCTTAGATGGAGCAGCTCAGCTTGACAAAGAATGCCACTACCATCTAGAAAACCAGCAGGAACCTAAGCTAAAAGGTTTAGTACTGATGTTACCCAGTCCCACAATGAAATTTCATTAGAAAAGAGCAACAAAGACAATAAAAGATCTGGGAAACCTGCAGAATGATGAGACTGAAGTTTATCTGGGTCATCTGATGACAAAGCAACTCTGTTTCCTTTTTCAGTGTTGTTTTGCCCTTAAGATCAGAAGTTCCTAAGAAGCACAATAACTTGGGTCCATCTTTAGAGCCTCAAAATATTGCCTGTATGCAACCCTGCTCCCAAACACCGACTGGAAAGCAACCAAGGAACAGCCCAAATCAAGGCTGTACCTGTGATTATCCACCTAGGGATCAACATCCACACATCACCTTGTGATGAGCAGAACCCCAAACCTTTCATTGCCCATCCCAGTGCCCTAAATGCTCAACTTGAGTCATCTTGCCATCTTGCGTACTCTTCTCCCGGACCTGCAACTCACGTCTCCTGTCCGGAGAAGCTTATGGGCTTCATCACCCAGCTGTCAGGAGAGGGCACTGTGAGCCCAAAGGAGCCTCCCAGACCCATCTAGCAAAACCCCAAATTTTTGGTTTTAACTCAATTCAATACCAGCAGTTTTGCTCAAGCTGCAAACCATGTTTGGGGTGTTTGAACCAACCACAAGGGTTTGGGCATTTGAGCCAAGTTCTCAGCTAAGTTTCTGGCTGTGGATTAAGTAGAAATCCCAAACTACTAAAGAAATACCTAATTAGCATCATGCACAGAAAGATCCCTTGCAGTTTTCTCCCTTGCTGTCCTTATCCATCATTCTACCTTCTTGTCCTGCTGATATTTCTCTTGGGAATTTGCAAGGGAAGGGTGGAAAAGCAAAGAAACAAGCAATCTTGAGTGTGCCAAAAGCAGAACCAGAGTAGAGAGGGCCTGTGCAGTACAGGAGCAAGTGTGTAAAGCAGGAAAAAAGTTTTGAAAAAGTGTAATTCGTTTGGAAAGGAGGTTTTTTATGGCGTGGGGTCCCCCTGGTGGCAGGTTTTTTGCGCACCCTTAGCAATCTCCCCGGATGGTCCTGACGTTGAATTGTCCCTGGTGCATGGCACAAAAATCTTAAAAGGTCCCATTGTGAATTAGTCAAATTTGTCATTTTTTTTGCTGTCATTTTAGAGGAGGAGCAGAAGGGCTTTGTCCCAGGGTAGTGTGGCCGAGCGGTCTAAGGCGCTGGATTAAGGCTCCAGTCTCTTCGGGGGCGTGGGTTCGAATCCCACCGCTGCCAGATTCCTTTTCTGGGAGCATGGGGGGACCCCAGCCCAGCTGGAGTGCACTGCAGGGTTACACAGCAGGAGCCCTGCAGAAGGGAGCAGAGCAGCACATCTGGGGTTCTGCTGGACCCAGTGAAGAAGAAGCTGCAGCCCATTTGCAAGGACACCCAGGGGAAGGATCCTGCTCCTGCCTCTGCCCCATGTTTTTCCTCCTTTCACTGCACATCCTTGTGCCTCTAAATAGTTGTAGGAAGCCAATTGAGAACTGAAGCCAGGGGGGTGAAGCCCTCCAGGGCATTGCAGTGGGTGATTTTCAGCCCATGCAGCATCTCCCACCTTCCTCAAGCCCCCTGCCCATCCCTGCAGCCCAGGACCCCACTTAATTAATTTCTAGATCCATGCCAGCTTAATTAAAAGTACTTAATTACCAAAGTAAGCATCATGCACAGAGTTACTCAGAGAAGCTCCACAAGTGGTATATGGACAAGTACAGTGGAAACGCAATTGGATTTAGGGTTGATTCCACCTTCCCTTTCCACAGACATCACCTGGGCAAGGTAAGGTCCCTTTGCATTTTTCTCCCTTGCTGTCCATAACCCAGCATTCTCCCTTCTTCTCCTGCTGACATTTCTCTTGGGAATTTGCATGGGAAGGGTAGAAAAGCAAAGAGATAAGGATTCTCTCAAGCATCCCAAAAGCAGAAACCCACCACAGAAGTGCTCGCCAAGACATACAAATTACAAAGCAAGAAAAAATGAGTTGAAAAGCTGCATTTCTTTCAAAAGGAGCCTTGCTGCTTGAAACCAGGAATGGAAGGGCTACATGGAAATGAACTTAGGGAAGATTCAAAGACTGGTGTGTTCTCCTGAACACCGAGCTACCTGTCATGGCTGAGGGACTGCGATGCTCCAAGGGAATTTTGGGAATGGAGGCAGAAGGGTTCCCTACCTGGCTCGAGCACAGGCGCCTGATTTCTCTGCAGGGGGGTTGCTAGAGACCATTGCTTATCCGTGGCAATTACTATTACCTCTTCGAATGCCTCGGGCACCTGGAGGGAAAAGTCAAAGTAAATGAAGTTATAGAAAAGAAAATATATATGAGGATAAAAGTAAAGTGAAGAGAAGTTAAAAGTGAAGATGGAAATGTGAAAATAAGAATGTAACTTATGTGTAAAAATAAATGAAAATAGATGTAAATGAAAATGAAGGTGAATAAACATAAAGAAATGAAAACACAAATGAAAATGTACAAATACGGAGGATAAATTGAAACATAAATGAAAATTATAAATAATATATTTATAAAGAAATGAAAATAAATATAAATGAAAACAAACACTTGGAAACAAACACAAACGAAAATTAAAAGTAAAATATATAAAGAAGTGAAAACAAACAAACAAAAACCAACACAAATGAAAAATTAAAATAAAATTTATAAATATAAATAATTAAAATAAAACAAGCACAAATGAAATCAAGCACAAAAACAAGCACAAACAAAATCAAACACCAAATATATATATATATATTTAACTATAAAAAATCAATAAAAGTGGCTTTAACAACCCCTCCTGGAGCTGGTATCCCCCAATGTGCCCCTAACATCCCTTACCTGGGCAGACTCCATCGCTGATACCCGGTTTCAGGGCAACAGTGCCAGGTACAGTCCGGGGGCCATGGCTCTGTGCACCCTACAAAAATTAAATTATTAGTGATAATAGCACATTAAGCCTCACACACACACCCCAAAACAAAACAAAACAAAACACTTTTTTTTCCGTATTTTTAGAGATATTTGGTTAAATCCAGCCCGGAGGTTTGAGTGAGCTATTTTGGGGATGGGAGGACTCACCCCCACGCCCCCTTCCTCCAAGCTTTAATTTTAGGGGCTCCATGTTACCTGTGCGCCCCCGCGTTACCTGAGCATCCCGGTGCTACCTGCGCGCCCTCCGCCGCCGCTGCCTCCCCCCTGGAGGAGGAGTCGGGGGGGGGGAAGGTAGTGTTAGCCCACTCCCCTTCCCCTCTCCATATGCGGGGGTGGGGAAGGGCTGGAGCCAGCCCTGAGCACGATTTTGGGGATAAAGTTAGTTTTGGTGGTGTTTTGTTTTGTTTTGTTTTGGTTGGTTTTCTTTGTCTTTATTATTATTATTATTTTATTTTTTGCAACTCTGCCTGGCGAAGCTGGGAGGGAGAAATTTGGAGGTGAGAAAAGCTCTGCCTGAGCCCCCCCAGAACCAGCCCTGCCCAAGGAGGAAATAAGGAAAAATGGGGAATATTTGGTTAAAACCCCAAAACGGGTGTCAGCCAGCAGTTGCAAACGCTCACTACTGACTTCCCTGGGAGATTTATTGCAGTTACTTTAAAGCACATCCCAGTGTCCCAACACTGATTTAATACCCACACCTCTACCCCTACACACAAATTAAAGGAAAAAAAAAATACAGCACAAACTTTCCATGATTCCCTTAACCTGAACAAAATTTTATAAAAATCTAAATTTCTACAAGAGTTTCTAAGGCATCTTTTTCCCCTTTCACTGTCCAGTATTAAAGATAGCAATTTCCCTAATCGATGTGAGATCTGAAATAAAACAGGCCTGGGGTGGAAAATTCAACCCAGCATTGAACTTTGCTCCCAAAGGCCCTGGCTCGCTTTGAGCCCACAGCATCCTCCAACTCCCAAATTTTCCTTTCCTAAAGAAACTAACTTGCAAGTGGGGGGAGGGGGGGGGGGGGAAGCACATTTCTGTTCTGCCCTTTTTTTCCAAATAAAAATTGTCCAGATTCAGATTTGCCAGGTAGAGAAACCTTCCTGAAACGTGGAGAGAGAGATTTTAAATTGCATTGTGCACTTAAAGTGAAGCTTTTTTTTTTCCTGCTTGATTTCATTAGCACCTTTAACAGGCACTGACCCCTTTCTTTTACAGAAAAAAAAAAAAAGAAAGGAAAAAGAAAAAGAAAAAAGGAAAAGAAAATCCCCGACAAATGTTTGTCTTTAGGAGTGCAGTTATTTCTTTATCACCCTGATGAATGGGAGCTGCCTGGGCTCTGCATTTCTCCCTGCACTACCACCCCCACCCCTGCCAGCTCAATTTCCTCCAAGACCCAAGCCAGCCAACCACAATCTGAAAAAAAAAAAAAAAAAAGCCCATTTTCAAGTGAGACCAAGAGCTTCCATCACTTCCATCAGGAGAAAATTGTTCCTTTATCCCAGAGTTGCCCAAGTTGCCCAATTCCCAATTTTTTGGTATGTCCAGGGTTTTTCTTCCTTAGGGGGTTTTACCGTGATTATTTATCAGACCAGAGAGGGTCAACCCCCCACCCATTCAATTAAATATCCTTAAGATTTCAATCCTTTAACTTTACAGCGCTCAGTAAATCCTATATAGGAGCTATGCCCCCCAAAAACATTGAAGAATGTTTATATGGTTTATGCCCTCGAGGTGTGATACATAGTTCTTGAGTAGAGGTCTACGAGATCTCAGCCACTTCAAAATGTGTAAAATTATTGCATTCACAGAAAATTTTAATGTTATTTAATGTCAATGTTATTTAATATTAATGTTAGTTCATGTTATTTAAAGTTAATGTCATTTAATGATAGTTAATGTTAGTTTAATATTAATGTTATTTATGTTAATGTTAGTAAATGTTATTGTTAGTATTATTTGATGTTAATGCTATTTAATGTTATTTAATGTTAATGTCAACATCATATAATGTTATTTAATGAGCAACACTGTCTTTTTCATAAGAACTCTTGTGTTCTTATCATCAACAAACTTTTTGCACAAGAAACTAACTTTTCCACCCAAACGCTAAATTTCAAATTTGCAGCATCCCCTGCCTTTCAAAATCTCTTCCTTTATTAACCAAAGAGCCCTTTCTGCCTGCTGCCCCAAATAAGCCTGTGGCTTATGGTTTGGGTATCATTATTTTTCTATTCTGAGCTGTTTTTTAGCTTTTTCTGGCTGCAAATATTAATTGGGTGCTTCTGCCCTTAATCATCATCTCCCCATATTTCCACGGAGAACGCAAGAGCTGAGATGTTCACCCATGGGGAAGCAGAGCCGGCCAAGGCATCCATCTAAAGCAATAAATATGCCAAAACCCACGGGGAATATGAATGAAAGAAGAAATTTAGGAAGAAATTTCAGCTCTCCATGTCTACCACCTGGCTGGAAAGTCTCTCAACTCCCCTGGGGAAAAAAATAAAAAAAAATCCACCTTATCAGCCCTGCTATCAAGGAGGACCCCACAGGTGCCAAGTACCCTTTCTTCCAGAGATTGCTCATCTGATACATACCTAATGCAGCCCCATGCTGCTATTCAGCTTGGAAAGCCTTCCCCAGGCTATTTCTGGTCCTGGGGAACACTTTTTTTGTGTGCCTGCTATTCCAGCACAAGGAATAAAAGCCTGCAAAGCAGCACAGGATGGCTGGAAGGGACATTTGCTATTATCCATGTGCAAACAAATGCTTTTTTTTTTAGGAAAATGCACAACACCCTTCCAGCCTGCATGCTGCTTGATCTCTCTCTCTCTCTTTTTCTTTTTTCTTCCCAGTTTTTCTGCTACTTTATGTGCTCACGTGGGCCAAGAAATAGTGTTGTTTTATTTATTTTTTTTCCTCTTCCCTCCTATCTAAATTTCCTTGCAGCTCTGCAGATAACATACAAAGAAATCTGAGCTGCTTCAAGGACTTCTACCCCCAAAAAGATGGCCTCGCTTCATCCAGTGGTCTGGTTTGGGTGCACAGGGGGGCTGTATCTTAAAAACAGGCTCCCCCGTTGCAATGGAAGAGGTCAAATCTCTCAGAAAGCATCTCCCAAAAGGCAAAACCACCCTTCCTTCTGTAAGAACCACCACGACCTTCTCATGGGACCTACAACAACCTGCATAGCCAAGGATACACCATTCTTGCACTACTCTAAGCCCATCACCCATTTGGGAACGGAGGAGATTCCCATGTTGACAAGCCTTTAGCTCTGGTCTGGTCACCATCATGAGTGTCCATGGCCTGGAGGTGAACCCCAAAAGTACCTCCATAGTGGTGGTCTCAACACCTGGCTGGCAACCCAGGCTGCACCCACCTCCTGTGGTTCCTCCACTGTTTCTGGTCTCGAGGAATCTTTCTCATGCCCAAAGAAACTCAGCTTGCACAGCCCAAAAGGAGGGAGAAAAAAAAAAAAAAAAAAAAAAGGAACTCCTCTTGGAGGGACATCGCATTTAATGGCTGCAATGCCAGCTTCAGATGTGAGCAACCCAAAACACCTTGCATACTTTCTTGTGCTAAGAGTTTTCAATACTTCTTTGGCCCCTTTTTCTATCCCCGTGCCTGCTCGGGCCCCACAGCTTTCACAGACTTCCTCACAACTCTCCCTTATCGCCTCCTTCTGTGCCGAAAAAGTCATAAATTTTGGTTTGCCTTCCCAGTAGCACGCAGGACCCAATTTTTCGACCACCTGCCTCACACTGGCTCCTTATCACAACATCCCCAAGGCCCCTCAAAGCACAAAGACATCCTCTGCTTTGCTAAAATAGTAAAACCTGGACATTTTATCATATTAAGTTGCTGAGCCCGTGTAACCCTATAACCTCTAAGCCTATATAACATCATTGGGGAATGTGGTTCTTGGATATCCAAACCAGCTCAAGGAGAATCCATTGGATGGTAATCAGATGGTCATCGATTTTGTTTAGCTAAAATATGAACCAGCCACCCTGGACTCAGTTTTGGACACTGGATGGATTCAGAAACTTCAGTCAAAAGAGATGCTTCATGGTTTTAACAGGGTTTTCCAAGGGGGTGTGATGTGTAGGGGCTGCTCCAGAGTGGGATATGGGGCTGGTACCCACTGATGGTCCCTTGGGGCATCTCTTGCCCAGGAGAATGCATCTAAGTTGCACGCTTAGTGGGGGGAAGCCTACATGCAAACCCCCTTCCCATGAGACTGGGGCTGAAGGGCACATTTATGCTCCTAAAATCAGCATTAGGATCCATTTCCTGCATGTGAACCCAAAGGACACCATTCTTTAAAATCCTCAGTCCCTCCCAGAATAGGGTTAATGCAACTAGACTGTATATTGGGAATAAACCCTGGGGGTTGCTGTAAAGTTTGAATACACCCTGGGATTTATTATTATAATGATTGTTGTTGTTGTTGTTTGGGGAGGAGGGGGGGGTCTCTTTGCAAGATGTACTAAGTCAAAAAAAAAGAAAAAAAAAAAAAAGGATGCAAGGACCATGCACAGAGGCGGCATCTCAAGAGCAAAGCCAGAGATTGGGATCAGAACGGTTTCTCCTCCCGGCCTGGCCTTGCAGGGATCTGCCATGGGTAGGTGCTGGGGGGGCTGGGGCTTTGTGTAGGGCCCCCGGAGGGATGCTTCTGCCCATTGTGTCAGCCCCGGCCATCCGGCCCCATTAACTTCCCGATGGCCCATCAGGCAGCTGCCAGGGCTTAACCCTTTCCTCCCAAACTCATCCAGGACATTTGCCGTCATTGCAAATTCATGAGCATGCACCCCCCCTCCAACCCCCTCGAAAAAAAAAAACTTTCTTCTTCCCCCAAAATGTTTCCAGAGGCAAGCACCTTCTCCAGCAACAAACCGCGGTCCCAAAGTCCCTTTTCTTCCCAAATTAAGTTTTTTTGCCAGCCATGAACATTTTGTTTTTCCAGCTTTCTCAAGACTCTTCAAGGTGCTTATCCTCGTGTCAAGAGTTAAAACTATGTCATCACTGGAACCCCATCTATCCTCCTCAATATAGGTTCATCTGCCAGACAGCTTTATTTGGGCTTCTCCATACTGCCTCCAGCCAGCTCCTTTCTAACCCCACACCAGTATTGTCCCTTTGGTGCACCCTTTGGTGGCAGAAGATGGAGCCTGGAGTGAAAATCAGCCGTTTTCCCCTGATTTGATGACAACACACAGAACCATTCTGCTGAAGAAAAGAAAAGAAAAGAAAAGAAAAGAAAGAAAAGAAAAGAAAAGAAAAGAAAAGAAAAGAAAAGAAAAAGAAAAGAAAAGAAAGAAAAGAAAAGAAAAGAAAAGAAAAGAAAGAAAGAAAAGAAAAGAAAAGAAAAAGAAAAACTTCCTCTTTTATTTCCTCATTGTTTTCTCTGTTTTTAGCCATTTATGGAAGCTTTCTGGACATGTCCCAGTGCCAAGGGGACACTTTGCATCTGAGGAGATGGGATGCCCCATGACTCTGCAAGTGCATAATCTTGTATGCCATTGACTCTCCCCACCTTCTTTTGACTATTAATCCCAAACCTGCCTATAATTGAATTTTTGTTCCCCCCCCCCTCCATTTCTTTAGAGAATCCAGTAGGCAAGATCCTCCCCTAGTGGTTCTTTTAATGCTACCTGTTTGCCTCAGCTAGCATTCGGTTTCTTTTGCTCACTTATTTTGAGGCTTTTGCTACCCCCTTAACTACAAGGACTGGGCTTTCTTTGTTCTTCAAACACCTCCCAGGGTTTTGGTTGAGGATTTTCCCTGCAAATGAAGGCCCCCTTTGCACACAGATTTTGCTTGGCTGTGAAGCTGGCACTAACTGCAAAGCTGGTGGTGCTTTGAGGGTGGAGTTAATAGGGTGCAGTATGGAGCAGCAGCTCCTGAAGGACTGGGGAGCCAAGAACAATAACCCAGCCATAGCCCCATCCCATTCCCAATAAAAGAGTTAGGAGGCAGAGGAATTTAAGGGGAAAGAGGGATGGGAGACAATCAGATCAAAGAGAATGACTGTTTACGTTTAAAAAATGCCATTAACTATACTAACCATATTACCTGAAGCTGCAGTGTATAAACTCAAAGTGATGGATCATGGCTTGACCTCTGTCTTCTCCATTTGCAACCCAGGGTGAGCCACCGGCAGCTCCTTCTGGATGCTTTCCTCTCATTTTTCCCTTTTCAACAAAGGGAGAGTAAAATTCCCCGTCTAAATCACCCACAAAGGTGTCACCAGCCAAAAACGCCATGAGGACACCTTTATCTAAGTAGTATCTCATGTACACACAGGTGAGTTCAATGCAACACTTGGAGGAGCAGCAGGTGTCAGAATGGTGCAGTAATTGTCTGGAAATGCACAATAACCACCACCACCCACTCAAGAGGCCACATTTCACAGGACTGGCAGGAGTGGAGACAACTTGAAAAGAAGCGGGTGGAAGTGCACAGCTCCTTCTTCTCAGCTCACAACCTGCCATTGGCATGGTGGGGTTTTCCTTCCATGCATCAGGTGGGTGCCAGCACCCTTGTTGGTTTAGCATCCATGTATAGCCAAGGATTGCAAATGAGAACTTCTGGGAGGAAGCAGCTGGCTTGGGGACGCCAGCTTAGGAGCAGCAAAACCCTTAGCTACTGTTACTATGCACAGCAGGAGCTGAGATAGTTCTGCTGAGGTGGATGGGTATGTGCAATCATGGATGGAAGAGTCTTGGGCCACCACAGTAGCACGATACAACTGGAAGAGTCTTGGGCACTTATAGACGACAGCAGGGATTTCACAACCTTGGTCACACCCTGCCCTCTGGTGTGCATGAGGTCTTTTGCCCTGTGGAGAGGCTCTTCAAGGGGAAGCATGAAGGGAGCAGAGGTTCCTCCATGCTGGGGACATGCGGGGCTGGAAGAGGTGACATCAGGCTGAGTTGGGCAATTGGTCCCACGCGGAACCAGGGACGGATCTTCTCCCGCTCAACGGGGCCAGCGGGAAACTAAAGAGCAGGTCTTGGTTGTCAGCATTGAAAAAGGCTACTTTCTGTCCCTCAAAGTCCAAGTAAACCCTAATCATCCGGGGCACCTGGTTGAGGACGAGAGCTGTGTGGTCAGGAGATGTCAGAGCCCAGTACTTGCCATTGCAGTGGAAGAGGGCCAAGATACCATCTTGCGGAGCAGGGTTGATCCACCCCTTCCTCTTCATGGACTCCCTGGCCACCCCCATTGCCCAGACCCCCCCTTTCTCTGTCCCCACATCCACCTCCCAGAAGCATCTCCCCGAGACAAATCTCTCCTGGCCCAGGACACAGTGGTAGGTGTCGTATCTCTCAGGATTATCAGGCATGGGTTGCCGCACGTCTCCTCGCTGCACCTTCTTCCCATCCGTGGAGAGGATGAGTTGGGGGTGTGCCGTGTCCGCATCCAGAGTGATGTGCACTGCAGGGAGAGAGTCAGATGAGCCTTTGGGATGTATCCAGAGTGGCTCCGAGCTAAGATCTTTCCCCTTGCAGAAATGCGTTGAGACCTCACATGCTCAATGGTCAAAGCCTGGTGGTCTGTCTTAACTCCAGCGTGGTTCCTGGGTGCTCTTTGGGAGCTGCTTCTGGTGGGTGGATGGGATGTGGCTGCCCCCTCTCAGGAGCTGAGTTTGCAGTGTGAATGTCGGCCACAAACCCAAACACAATTAATTTAGGGGTAGCCTTAATAAATAATTGGGTCTGTCTCTCAGGGAGGAACCAAGAGCATCACCCAGTGGGTCTGGTTGGAGATGCAATGAGTTTACCCATTCTGCAACCCTATAGGGAAGGGAAGGGAAGGGAAGGGAACTTATTTAGTGGGACAGAAGAGGTGGGAAAGGACACAGAAAGCATCAGACCAACAATGGTGTGGAGGCAGAGACTCAAGGACAGGCAAAGCATGAAGCCAAGGTACCTTCTTCCACTGGGACAATAGTATTTCTCCACCCTGAAACCAAACACACATGATCACAAGTGGGCTCTTTGGTGGAGAGGGATGTTGGAGGCTTTGGACCACTGGCTCCGAGGGCTGCACAACAGCCTCAGGCATGCTTCAGGTTCATTTACTTGAATGTGATTCCATTTACAAAACTGGTGCAGCCTACACAGTGTGGGGATGCATCAAAATGAGAACAGTGCTTTCTCCTTTCTGGTCCAATTCATAATTCATGTGGGTTTTTTTTTGTTGTTGTTGTTTTTTTGTTGTTTGGTTTGTTTTGAATTCATCAATTCATCATTTTCAGTCCCCCAGGTAGTGTTTTGTAAGCAGCGTTGGTGGGGTCATGGTACTAAAATTGAGTAAATCCCTCTGCCCACAAACATGCTGTTTGGAGATAGCCTGATGCTATGATGGGGGGGAAGAGCAAGGATTAAACTTACGTAGTTCTGCAGCATGTTTCTCTGAAACAGAAAAACAAAATGAGCATGTTGTTAGTAGAAGCATTTGGGTCAAAACCCCACACATGGATCCCTACATATCCACCAAACCCAGGGGTATGTTCAGAGGTGCTTTTATAGTGCTAGACCTCCCATATCTGCCCAGGCAGAGACACAGAGCCAGGGAAAAGCAGATGAGACATAGCTATATGTAAAATTGACTTGAAGAAGGGATTTTGTGCCCCCACCGGGATGGAAGCAATTAGCGGGGTTGGTGCCACCATCATTTCTCTTTGATGGCCTCTGAGAAATTAAACTCAGATGAAGAAAGTTAGGGAAAGCTCTTCTCCTTGTCCTAGGGCTTTAGTTGGTGGAAGAAGCAAAAGAACACTTACGTATTTCCATATCACGTTCCCCTGGGGGAAAAAAAAAGACAGGAAAAAAATAAATAAATGGAATTGCTGGAAAGCACTAACTTGGTGCTGGCAATGCATCCAGGCTCTGGTCTGGAATTTGCTCTTTTCCTACCCAAAACACGGGTAATTGAGCTGTTGGAAAGTTATGCAGGTCTGGGGGAAAAAGCTTAATATGACTGTCCTAAGTGGGATTTTGATGGATGGCCTGATTTAATTTGCAGGAAAGGGTTTCTTTATCTCACTTGCATGCCATTTCTGTTAGAAGTGTTGCCATTAAAGCTAGCTATTACTTTAACACAGGAAAGAAGGAAGTTCATGTGTTTATTGCTTTCTTGGATTGCTTTTTGGCAAAAAGGTATAACTCTTTACTTAATTAATCTGAAAAGAAGGAAACTGGCCTCTTGAAAACCATACAGTTCACCAATGATATAATTCAACTACCATAGACGTGCTATAGAGGGACTTCAGGAACCACAACCCATCCAATCAGAGATTTATTAAGCCAAGCAAAAAGGGATCTGGTCTTCCCTAAAGCCACTTACCCAAACTGGCCAGTTCAGATGAAGTCACGCACTTTGTTCCCCAAGACACCAGCAAAAGCACTGCTTCCTCCCCACTTCCTTTCCCCAACTCTCTTAATGCAATTAAACAGGCATCCGGATGTAGGGCTCATTCTCCCTGCAAGATTACCCACAAAGACAGAAGAACCATGGTACTTACGGATTTCTGCACTGCGTTTCTCTGAAAGCAAAAGCAGAAAGAAACATGTGAGCGGAACCTTCTTTTCTGACAGATAAGCCATGGGGGGACTGTTGGCAACAAAAGTCTGCTTGGGTACAGAGAATTGTAAACTTCTTAACATTAATAAAATATCTGACAAATCTTGGTATCTGCAAGAGGAAGAAAAAAAAAAAAGAGGACTTTTTCTATTATATTTATGTGAGTGTACTTTCAGAATTTAAATGAAATCTGCCCAGTTTATTTCCTCTATTCCTCAGAATTATTTCACGTGGCTTTTTGTTGTGAAATTAGCCTGCAACCACTGTTATCAAAGCAGAATGTAGGAGATGCACACAGACACAAGACCAAGCAATGTCCAACCCTCTTCTGGTGGCAAAAAAAAAAAAAAAATCCCCTTTGAAATGTGAAATGACAGTTTCTCTTACCAAGTTCTGTGGTGTGTTTGGCTGTAAGAAAGAACAAAGAAAGTGGCACAGATTAAAGGATTTCTTCCACAATAATAATAATGCAATAGATTATTGATTATTAAGTTAACATATCAAGATTATTAACAATCTTAATGATATATCAAAATTACAGAATATCCAACTCAGGGTATTCTATGATTCTGTTGATGGAGATTTTCAGTTCAAATCTGCACTGAATATCAGGACTGTTTTATTTTTTTTGTTTTGTTTTGTTTTGTATTGTTTTTTTCAGCCAGCACTGGTGTGGTTTATTGTGACATTGCCTCCCCATGGTTTACATAAGGGACTCCGGTAGTCTTACAGCAGGCTTACAGTGCCACCTGAAGCATGGCATTTTCAGAATATTTCCACAGGAGAGGGGTCTAGCAAGTAGTGTCTCAAAGATATAAGGCATTTCAGTTTGGTCTTAGGAGCCACAACCCCTTCTTGCAGTTTCCTAATGCCTTACCTTGTAGCCGATAAAATATCAATGGCAAGAAAATCAGCAAAGCCAAGCAGATGGCCAGGATAGCAAAGAAAGTTACCATCCAGGGAGAGACCTCTGGGAAATAGCATCTGAAAGGGAAAATGGCCAAGGTGGAGTTAGCGCAGGACATGGAATGCATTTATGTGCATGGGTGTGAATGCAGCTACACAAACACGGTCATGCTATGTGCTTACATACAATTAGTGTAATGTGAGACCATAACAAATACAAATGGGAAAAAGTGTTTAAAAATGATCCAAACATTTTTGTATTTAATGTCCTGAATACATGGAATAGTGGTATCTTGCAAGTGCTCATTCTCCTTCTCCTTTGTGCACCATCATCTTTGTGAAATATTTAGACCAGAGGCTGCCATACTTCTATAAAAAATCTTTGCTTCAGAGCTGGCTCTGAAGAAAACTTAGCTGAAATGGACATTTTATTTAAAAAGTTCGGAAATCCCTGATTTGATCCCTTGTGGTTCAGAAACCCCAGTTCAGTTCCTCCTCTATCTCGTCCTTTCCTTCTCCATCACACTCTTGTGTATGGAGTGTTGCACCTATAGGCACCAGAATAGGGCAGAAACTGGTCCTCTGTGTGTAAAATTAAAGGAAGAAAAACCTGGCTTGAGTTTTTAAAGCTTTAATTCCGGCAGCAGCTCACCTGATATGTAAATTGAGGAGTCCTTCTCCTGGGGAAGTCGAGTGTTCTGGACAGAACAGGACAGGTTTTGCTTTGAGTTTTTGTGGATGATGATGGTCTTTTCTACCTGGAAGAAGCCGTTCTTGTCTTGGGAGGTAGATTCAGTAAAGGAAGGAAGCTGCTGTCCCTGAAATCTCTCCACAGCATCTCAGGCTTTGGGTACCAGCCAGCTGCTCGACATCCCACTCGGATTCCCCCATCTTGGTAATCCTCCACGGACAAAAGTGGGCTGGAACCTGAAACTAGCATGAAGCAGGCATCAGCCAGACCAACATAAACACAAGGAGTGCCCATCCCAGAGAAGGGATTTCAAAACCCTGAAAGCTTTTCCCTTTTCTGACTGCTGCAAAAAAATAAGGCAGCACTGATAAAAGACACCCATGTAGTTTCTGAGCTTGGGGTGGAATCCAATTATGTTCTTTACTCCTATTGTCCTCCTTCCTCAGGAGAAACAAAGGAACCCACACCTTTTCAACTTTTGGTTTCAGGGAGGGTTCAAGGCTGACCCCCAGCATCATCCTCATGGTCAGAAAAGAGCCGTGAAATCAGGCCAACCTTCTGGTTCAGTCCATCCTACAGAGAGCAATGGCAGAAGGATGCAGCAGATGGACTGTACCCAGGATCTGCACCCAGACAGATAGATGCTCATCCTCTTTGCGAGTCTTCTGCATACTAACATGCAAGACCTGTTGGGTTCAGGAGAAAAAAATCTCTATCTGGGACACAGAAGAGAGGTGTTTGGCTCCTCTCTGCTTGCAATAGCAATTCTCTTGAGCTGGAAACAGCTTGGTGCTTATCCCACCCTTCCCTGGGAGCGATGTTTTAGGTCATGTCCACCTCGAGTCAATTTGTGGACCATGTCCCTCATAGGACAATCTGCACAAGAATGTATCTTTGGCTACAGCTGTGCTGTCAAATAACTCTCCTGCTTCTTCTACAGGATCTTTTGAAGCAAACCAGCTGGAGGGCTGTGGTGTGAGATGCTTGGCCAGGGGCAGCCCAGTGTTAGCTGCTTCGTTTGAGGATGGTGCTGCTGGTTTTGTGAGGTTTCAGGGGTCTGGTGTTGGGAAAAGTCCCTATTCTGTGGGGATTTTAGGCCATGTAGGTTGGGGAGCTGCTCATTAGGAGCTGGGCTATTATACAGGGGAAATAGAAAGGATTTCTAAGTCTTCATAGGGAAAATGGTTGAATCCAGAAGCCCTTCTCATAGGCAATCCTGCCTCTGGGGCCTTACCTGCTACTTTCAGCTCCAGAGTGGCTTCTTCATAAAAATTCCCATCTTTAATGAGACACTGGTACTGTCCCTCATCGCTCAGCCTGGTCCTGAGGATCCGCAAGGAAACGTTTCCATTGGAGACACCCCCTTTCAAAAACTCTGTTCTCCCCTGGTACTCGGGCATCTGGGAGGAGAAGTGGTCCTGCCCACTCTGGTAGAGATGCACATAGATGGAAAACCGGGAGCGGAACCACCTCACCTCCATGTGCTCGGCGTTCATCCTGGGGGAGAGGTGACAGGGCAAAACGACGTCCCCTCCCACGGTGGCCGTGATGGGGTGATCAGACCCCAGGACTTGGAACTGGGCTGCAAACAACAGGTTTAAAGGCTGGTTGGGGTGGTGGTGGCACATCCAGGAGCAATCAGCAATCAAGCATAAGGCAGCAACACGATGGGTGCAAGGATTGGGGCACCCAGCATACACCTGCCATCAAAAGTGGGTCTGGAAAGCAGCCTAAAAAGATGGAGTTAAGCCTGCTGAAATGAAAACACCAGCACATGCTGATGTGAGATGAAGCAGCCAGCTGAAAGCTCCACAAACATTGGAGAGAACATAACAGAGGGAGAAAGGACAGGTTTGGGGGCACAGGAATAATAAAGACAGAGCTTAGTGTCTGCTCTTTGGGCATGCTCACTTCTCCACACCCTCCACCCTCCTGCCCCGTATGGAGGGCATCCCCCACTGATGATGGTGGATTCCCCTAAACAGCATAGTTTGGGCACATCTGAAGTGATGCTCCCCAGAGTTGTACCCCAGCAGATTTGCTATTTATCCCACCTAGCTTTTAAAATGGTCTTTCAATAAGGTGCACAGCTTCTTCTTCCCCGTCACTGGGGCTATTTAGGAGATATGTGGATATGGCACTAGTAGATGTCGTTTAGTAGTGGGACTCAGGGGGTCATGTTGATGACTCGATGATCCTGAAAGTCTGTTCCTACCTCTTATGATTCTCACTGTCTCCTCCTAAATGACCTCGATGGAAGGTTTAAGCCATATTTGGTTGGGGTCAAAAGCCCTGAGTTACAGAGCAGGGCTAGAAGCACTGTTGGTTTCTTAATGCCTCACTAACAAACTGTTCCCACAGGCAACTTTTCGGTGTATATCACTTTTCTGTAGTATTATCTAGCCAATTATAGATATAAAAATATATAGCAAATGACAGATTCCATAAAAGAGGCAGAAGGAGATCCTTACCACAATCCAGCTTGTGAACATGAAAACCAAAGAAAATTGTGGCACAAGCCAGGACAAAGCTGCTGCAAAGGAGGCAGGAGGAAACCAACATCTTCACATCCACCTTCACTGGGGAGAGATGAACAGCAAAAATATATATATATATATAAATCAGTGAAATGAGTGTAAAGCTGAGCATGGTGCAAAGAACATCAATATGAAAAGGTTTTCCTAGGGGAAACTTGATTGCGAGAACCTGCAGAATGAGGCAATAGTTAAAAATTAAAAAATTAAAAAAAAAAAAAAGACTGAAGGTCAGGTAGCTCCTTCTGTATGGGCACCATTCCCACCTTTCCAAGGGAAAAAAAAAAAATATAATATATATATATATATTTTGGTGTCCATGATGTTCCTGGTCCTGCAGACAGGGCACTGCTGACACATCTCTGCAAGGGCTCAGCCTCCCTTGGAAGGAGTTTTTTTTTGGGGGAAAAAAAGACATTTTCTCCAGTCTGTGATGCTCCTTAGAACAAGGGGGAAAACCTGGAATTGAAATACTCTTTAAGAGGGTGGGGGATACAGAGAGAAAAAAGCCTTCTTCTTGCTTCTGTATGTCTCCAGGATGTGGTGACACCAGGTAAATCTGCAAAATAGGGGTCACATTTTTTTGGGGGGAGGGGGGCACCCAGAAGGAGAGTGACCCATGATGGATGCCACAGGTGGGGACCTAATTGGCTGCAGCTTGAAAATAACTCATCCCAGATTCAGGCCCAGCTGGGGTCCTGTATTGCTAGGGATCCCCAAGCCCCCCATAGTTTCTTGACCTCCCCCTCCCCCCAATCCTACATAGGAAACAGGGGGTACTCCAAACCCCAGGACCCTGCCATACCTCTCCTGAACCCATCCAGATCGCTGCTCCCCAGGGTGGAGGAAGCATCGCAGCTTGGTACCGCAGCCCTGCCCCGCTTTCAGCTTGCTGGGGGCTAAGAAGGGGGGGTGGGGTGGGTCAGAAACCCCCGAGGCTGTGAGGACATAGGCAAGCTCCTGCCAGCTTCCCCAGCTCACCAAAATCACCCTCTGCTTCCTACTTTCTGAGCACAAAGGGTGGAGCTGAACCCGAGAGCCGGAAACCCATGGCTTGCATGGGAGCCTCAGAGATACCCTCCCAAGGTCAAAACTGAAACCTCTGAGCTCAAACTGACTCTTCTGCATCCAGACCCCTTCCAGAGCATCATTTCTGCCCACCCGACCCAGCAGAGTGGAGGCAAATCCTGCCGCGGTGCAGGGGCATCCTTCAAGGCAATTACTCATTGGGGTGCCTGTTGCACCTCAAAGCCTTCATGCTGCAGGGTGTACATTACTCCCACTCCCAGCGCATGCTGAAACTACGGAGATTGCATTTAGGAGCAAAAAGCAAGCAAGGCTTTATATATATTTTTTTATAAATATATGTTTGCAGCTATGATTTTTAATGCTTCTTTAAAAAATTAATTATTTTTCTCCCCCATATGCCCTCTCCTATTGCAGGCATCACCTTTGCAAACATCTTTGCTGCTCGCATTGCTCCTTCCCCAGAGC